CATTGTTTTATCAGGTTGTAATAATAAACTTGGTCAGTGTAGACCTCACAGCTCTTGTTAACTACCTTGTCCATTGAATAGCATGCTTAAGGGCTAACTCATGATCATGCTCATCTTTTAAAGGTGGTTCATTTAGAGACCCTATGCCATTGTTTTATAGTTAAGGAATTTTAGGTTCCTAGATTGAAAACTGCCTGTATATAGTTTTGTTTTCTTGGATGTGCTAATTTGCCTGTGTTGTTTAGTGAATATATGGGTGGGGCGGACACGACGATGGACATTTAGTTTTGCTTAGTCTTGTATTTTGATAATTCCCACCAACCCCATGTTCTTTTTTATGGGTGGGGGAGTTTTGTTTTGTTTGATACAGGGTTTCTTCATATAGCTTTGGCTGTTCTGGATCTGACCCTGTAGACCAGGCTTGGTTGGCCTTGAATTCAGAGATCCATCTGCCTCCTAAGCACTGGGATTAAAGGCATAAACCACCACCACCCAACTTCTGGTTTATATAATTTTATTAGTTAAAGTGCAGAAAATTATAAAAGTAGGTGTGTTTTTGTGTGATACTTTCATTTGTTTTAAAACTCATAGTTTGAAGGAAATGTTAGTAGATTTGGGAATAAGTGAACATCCTAGTAAGAAGAAAATGTAATTCAATTTTTTTTTTTATTTATTAATAGTATATGATGATACTGCTTCAGTTTTCTTCAATATGCAGACGATTTTTTTTTTCTATTTTTACTTTTAGAAGTATGATCTACGAGTGTGGTGGTTCACACCTACCATTCTTTATTTGGGAGTGTGAGGCCAGCCTGAGCTATCTAGTAAGACCATATCTGCCTTAAAAAACTGTAATATTGTGCATTAAGAATGGTTCCATGCTGGAAAGATGGCCCAGAGGTTAAGAGTTCTGTCTGCTCTTCTAGAAGACCCATATTAAATTTCCAGCACCCACAGGCCACAACTGTCTATAACTACAGTTTCAGGGGATTTAACACCCTCATACCCTCTTGCAAATATGAAGGCAGATAAAACACGAATGCACAGAAGACAAAAAAAAAAAAAAAAAAAAAAAAAAAAAAAAAAGGTTCCTAGTGGGACTTGGTGGGTCTCAGCCTTACTTTAATACTGTAATTTTGTTTCTGTTGTTAATTATGAATATCTGATGTGCAACCCCTGTGAAAGGGTTGCTTAAACTCAAAGGGGTCATAGCCCACAGGTTGAGAACCACTGCTTTAAGAATCTGATGGGGATGTCCTTCTGTATGCTGTGAATATATATGTTTCTCTTACTGGTTGATGAATAAAACTGTTTTGACCAGTGGATAGGCAGGATGAAGCCATGTAGGAAACATAGGCAGGGTGACCAGACTAGGAGAATTCTAGGTAGGGGACTCAGAGAGTGAAGCCAGGGAGACACCATGTAGCTGCCAAGGAAGCGAGAGGCCCAGGCATCACTGGTAAGCCAAGACCACATGGAGATACATAGATAATATAAAATGGATTAATAATTAATTGAACTAGCCAATAAGAAGCCCGAGCCATCGGCCAAACAGTTTATTGTAGTATATGACTGATATAACTAATTAAATAACATAATGTAATTATTCATTAATATAATGAATATAAGCCTCTGTATGTTTATTTGGAACTAAAGGGTTGCTGGACTGGGTGGGCCATAAAACTTCCATCTCCAAGAACCACTGCCTAAGAGAACCACTGCTTTGAGAACCAGCACTTGGCAGGCAGAGGCCAGAGGGCAGCAGGCAGCTCTGAGTGTGAGGCCAGCCTGATCTACAGAGCTAGTTCTAGGACCGCCAGGGTTACACAGAGAAAAACCTTGTCTCAAAAAGCAAACAAAAGGGGGGGGGTCCCTTAAATTCCTGGTTTTGGTTTGTGCTTTTTTTTTTTTGGAGACAGGGTTTCTTTATGTAAGAGCTCTAGATTAGACTGGCTTTGAACTCATTGAGGTACATCTATCTGCTTCTGTTTCCCAAGGGCTAGGATTAAGGGCAAGCATCATCACCACCCAGCTTAAATTTCTGTTTTAAAGTGAAAGAGATTTAACTATTTGTGATCTGATTCTATTTAAAATTGTATCTGTTTTTATGCATAGTTGCAGTCTATGTAGCTGTTATGTTCAATATAGATGCTCTTTTTTTGTATTTTTCTATATTGCAGTCATATCTCTGTTGTGTAATGTTTTTATAGATGTTCCACATTGAAATTTATTTTCCTATTAAAAACAGTGAAATCCATCTCGGTCTCTGTGTGTACACACATATACTTTGACCAGTTAAGTAGTTTGACTGGAATTCTTAACATTATTTTTAGAGTTACTGTCTTTGAGTGGGTCTCACTGGGTGGTGCAGGCTGGCTCCTTCAGTGGTGATGTGAACTTCTGGTTTCAGTCACATCTCACCATGTCTCATACCATTACAATTTTGCATTACACATATTCTTAATGTAAACTGGTTTTGTGTCTTCTAAGAGATTTATACAATTCAGTTTAACTCAGCAATGCAGCTCAGTTTTTTATAAGAAAATGTATACATTTTAGGAGGACAAGTAAACGGAATTTAAAAGCACAGTGATTACCACTTATAATTAACATACTCTGAAATACAGTATCAGACTATTATTGCTCCATTTTTTTCCTTGGTTTTGTAGTGCTGTGGGAGTCATGCATGCAGACAGGTGCTTTGCCATTGAGTAATCCCATCCCCTACTTGGTTCATATTTTTGGAATTCTTTAAATGTACTGCAGGGTTAGAATCTTTGATTCTTAATTTGGAACAAGGTTTTTGTGCAAAGATGTATATTTTCCCCTGAGAGAATCTGGGAATTATCATAACCATTAGTCAGGATACTTTTTTTGTAGTAGAGAAATAGTCAGGGTATTTCACCAGTTTCTTAAAGGATTTATGCCTGAGTGAAATATAAGCGACGAGTGTGTGGACTGTGTTCTGAGCAGAGTTCGGGCTTGATTTCTTGTGATCCTGTGCAAATCTCCCGATTTACTTAATAGAAATTTCATTTGACATCTTTGGCTGTTTACAACATTCGGATTAGAATCCATTGAAGTTTGCATATAGTTCCTGTTTAAAAGGTAGTTAATACTCCATGCATGACAAATGGGAGAGGTGACACAGGTCACTTGCCAAGTCTACCTAGTCTCTTATGTTACCAGTTTATAAAACATTATGAATTGCATACTTTGGGCTTAGAAAATCTTAAATGACTGAGTTTCTATCAACTACAAATAAATTAACTTTGTTTAAACCCTTTTTTTGTTCTTTCCCTTTTCACTGGGTAAAATCCTGATATAGTCCATCCCCCCCTCTTTTTGAGTTCCCTTTTATTTCATTCCTAGGCCCTCATTGCCCCCTTTTCCCTTTAATGTACAACCCTGTTGTTTATAGATATAATGCAAATTTGAGGTATGGTAATGGATGTAATCCATGCTTGTTTATTAAGCATTTATTTTGCCTGTAACAAAGAAATGTTAACATTTTATAATTTTTTTTGTTTGTTTTTGTTTTGTTTTGTTTTTTACAGGGTTTCTCTGTATTGTTTTGGAGCCTGTCCTGGAACTCTCTCTGTAAATCAGGCTGGTCTTGATCCAGAGGCAGGAAATATACCTGCCTCTGCCTCCTAAGTGCTGGGATTAAAGGTGTTCGTCACCACCATCCGGCCTCATTTTGTAATCTTTTTAAATCAAACATTTAAAGACAAGTGATTCTGACAATGCTATATCACTACTTTTAACTATTGAATTTATAATATATAACACATCTTAATCATAAAATTATGACTTTTTAACTTTGGTTATTGAACTTATATGTAACACATCTCTCCCACCCCAGGACAGGATAGCTCTGGCTATCCTGGAACTCATTCTGTAGACCAGGCTCTGAACTCAAGAGATCTATCCTCCTGAGTCCTGGGATTAAAGGCATGTACCACTATGCCTGGCTTATGTTTGTTTGTTTGTTTATTTTTTTGTTTTTTTGAGAGTGTTTCTCTGTATAGCTCTGACTGCCCTGGGACTCTCTCTGTAGATTAGGCTGGCCTCAAACTCCCAGAAATCTGCCTACCGCACCTCTGCCTGCCGAATGCTGGGATTAAATGTATGCTTTTTGACTTTAGTAGAATTGAATTTAACCAAGGGTCATAGTATTTATAGTTGACAAGGTTTTTCTGTATTATTTTGATGGCTGGAACTTGTCTGTAGACCAGACTGGCTTCAGGATCCATTTGCCTCTGCCTCCTGGGTTCTGGGAACAAAGGTGTGTGTTACTGTGTGTTTTTTTTTTTTTTTTTTTTAATTTTTATTTATGTTTAAAGTATGGGTATTCTGTATGTATGCCTGCATGCCAGAAGAGGCCTTCAGATCCTATTATAGTTAGTTGTGAGCCAACATGTGGTTGCTGGGAATTGAACTCAAGACCTCTGGAAGAGTGGCCAGTGCTTTTAACCCCTGAGTCATTTCTCCAGCCCCCAAGTTTGGTATTCTTAATGGTGTCAGTATGTTGGTAATTTTTAATATGTCTTTATTTTCACATGTAGGAAGTGGTATATATTAATATTATAGAGTAAAATGAGGGGAAGTATTAAAATAAGTACCAAAAATGAGGCTGGATGTATAGTGTATGGTATAATATATTAAGGATGCTCTCAGTTCAATTCCTAGCAGTACTTCTTCTGATTCCACGGAGGGCAGTGGAGAAGAACTACCCTGCCTTCACCTGCCCCTTTTAGGGTCTTTTCATTTGGTTTGAGAAGGGAAGGAAATACTAGACTCTTTAGTTACCACCCATTTCCCTTTCAGTATAGTTAAGTTGTAGTTGACAGAACCCATGTTTTAAACACTTAACTTGTTTTGGGCTATAATTACAGATTGGATTAGATTTGAAATGCTAATTGAAAGGTCAGGATGTTATAAGTTTGATTGTTTCATAACTGACTGGGGTTTTTCTCTCTTTTGCCTCCCTCATTTAGGTTTCATAGGCTCACTTTAAGAAAGCACCATGGAGTTTTATGAATCAACGTATTTTGTTGTCCTTATTCCTTCAATAGTTATTACAGTCATTTTCCTTTTCTTCTGGCTTTTCATGAAAGAAACATTATATGATGAAGTTCTTGCAAAACAAAAAAGAGAACAAAAGCTGATTTCTACAAAAACAGATAAAAAGAAGGCAGAAAAGAAAAAGAATAAAAAGAAAGAAATCCAGAATGGGGCCATTCATGAATCTGATTCTGAGAATGTACTTCGGGACTTGAAGTTACCTGATGCTTCGGCCGGGGAGGAGGAGCAGTTTGTACCTGCTCCACTGAATGTGCTTGACACTTCCAACAGTGTCAGGGAGAGAAAAAAGAAGGACAAGAAACAGAAACCTCCAGTGGAAGAGCAGATCATCAAAGAAAGCGATGCATCAAAGATCTCAGGCAAAAAAGTAGAGCCCGGCCTAGTTACAAAGCAGCCGGCCCCACCTCCCGAAGCAGCTGCCTTGAAGAAGAAAGCAGGGCAGAGGTCTAAAAATGGAAGCGGTACATAATCTTTTTAACTCCTTGCATGGTTACACATAGTGAGTCTGAAACAGATTGTTCCCCTTACTGTCCCTCTAGTTTACAGGAATTGCAGGTAGAAATGAGCAGTGATTAAAGAAACACTTTAAACTTTATCTGTAACTACTTAAAAGACTCACTGGAAGGGCTTGTAGTTATTGAGAGTGACATTTAGTGAACACATTGTAATCAATGTGATAGGACTTGAAAAAGTGAAACATTGTTTCTCACTTTTGATTCAATTTTCAAAATTACATTTCTGGAGGCACTGGGCCTCCAGAAAGGAGTCACATGCCAGCTGTAGATACAAGGTTAGGATGGTAGAAAAAGGTCAGATCATCTGGGTCTCAGGACTTCCAAGATGGGCCATTTGGAGCATGCAGTGCCAGGCATTAATTTTAAAGCTTGAGAAAGTGCTGGCTAGTTGTGATTGTGCGTATAAATACATATTTATATAATCTTGCTGTACATATAAATACATATATGTTATATATATATGTGTATATATAAAATTAAGAAACATTGATTGAAAATACTTCAGAAAGGATTATGTCTATGAAACTATTTGAAAGAGTGTTTTCAATATGAGCAGTCATTTGAAATTGTCGTTTCCTAGACAATACAATGACTGTTTATATAACATCCACTTTTTATGATGTATTATAAGTAATCTAGAGATGCTTGAAGTATATGGGAGGAGTACAGTGTCATTTTCTGTAAGGGAGCCCCCTCGGACTTTGATATTGGTGGTGCTTTTTAGAACCTATTTCCTGCATGGGTGTCAAGGACAAGTGTACATCAGAAAATTCCTTAGAAATGGCAATTGATGTGTGCAGCTGCAGAGCATTGGCATTATATGAAGGGACTGAAATTCTTTGTGTATCCTTATTTATAGTTTTAATGGTTATGTTTGACTTAAAGGGCTTGCTTGCAGCTATGACCACATATGGTCCTAGAGAAATAATAGTAAGCACTGCATGCCTTAGTCAGGAAAGAGAAATGTTGTAAGTCAAATATCAAAAGGTGATTTATGTAGAAGTATGGAAGAAATAATATAGGAGAAATACAGAAGCCAAAGCAACAGTATTTAATGGAATTGGTGGGTAAAGAGTTTATGGATGATGCAATGCCTTAGCTATCTTTAGGACTAAGTCTCTTTATCAAGGAAATAGTAGGCCTCACCCTACGTTGACAGAAAGCTACTTGTCCAGGCACAGGAGAGATCTATGAGTCTAGAGTATTGTTAAGAGTGAAGTGGACACAGCTGAAGAGGTCACACTACCTAGGTCATGACAGTTTTTGTAAACAGCCCAGGAAGTGGGGCTTACATTAGTTAAGAGCTTTTGGTCAGGTTAATATAGTCACTTTTTAAAATTTGCCATGTGCCCATATGTCTGCCTGCCTGCCTGCCTGCCTATCTGTCTATATCCATCCATCCATCCACCCATCCATCCATCCATCCATCCATCCATCCATCCATCCATCCATCCATCCAATCAGTTTATTGAGTACATGATAGGGAAACAGTGAGTTGTGTGATGTTAGATTGAATTTGATTTGTATATATATAAGTACATATTTTTAAAAGAAATATTTTTAAAAGAAATATATATGATTATTTTTATGAGTATATATATATATATATATGTGTGTGTGTGTGTGTGTGTGTGTATTTGCTTACATACATATTTGTGTGTTTCACTTGCATTCCTGGTGCTAGAACTAGAGTTTTACAGATGATTGTGAGCTACCCTGTGTGTCCTGGGAACTAAACCCAGGTCCTCTGTAAGGAGAGAAATTATTCATAATACTGAGCTACCTCTCCAGCCCCTGATTAGATTTATATTTTAGGAAGAGAGTTCTTGGACAGAATTTATGAGAACCCCATGAAGCCTTTCACACAGTCAGAAAGATAGTTCAGACATTGTCCTAGAGTTAGGTCATGGGGTCAGATTATGTAGTAGTGTCAAAAGGGAGGACCAACCTCATCTATGAATCTTGGGGGTAAAGAAGATAGGATCAAAGGTGATTGAGATTCTAAGTGAGATTAGGTGTGGTATACTTCAGTCTCTGAGCTAAGTCATCTTGACTTTTGTTGCCAAGAATAGATTTTACATTTTAAATGCTTCAGTGTTCAAAAAGTTTGAGTGCAGTCACTTCTGTAGACCTGTGACCAGCTTTCACAGTGGTCAGTAGTGGATGCTCATGCTCATGGATGCTCTAGCACATGTACTAGAGTATGTGTGGCCTGCAAAGGCTAAAGCATTTATTCTCTGGCCCTCACTGAATAAAGAAAACTTTTCCAGCCTGTGATTAGTACATGCTTGTTAGCACTAAGGTAAGGAGTGTTGAAGAAACTGAGTGTGAGAAGAGAAGAGACACAGTTTGTGTCTCAGGTGCCTGTGTGTGTCATTCAGCGTGATAGCCCCAGCACATGAGGTGTTCTTAGAAGCAGTTCACAAAGGACACATGAAAGGAATATAAGAAGAAAATTAGGGAGCTCGTTTTTTTTTTTTTTTAAATTTCAGTAAAATTGGGACTCAGATTTGAGTTACTCCTTGATTGGAGTGGGAGAGAAAAAAATGGAAAAGAAAGCACAGCTTATTATTTCATCCATGGGAATGGGCGTGGAAGGTGCGGATTGCAGTGGTAGGGAAGCGACCGTACTGTGGCCCGAGTGGGGCTGGAAATGGCTTGGAGATGAGAGGAAAGGGCAAGTACGTTAGAGATTTGATAGTGTAGAGTAAGAAAGCTGGGAGGAAAAGTCTTTGGTAGGAGAGTCAGTGTGAGACTAAGCTGTTTGTGGTAAAGCATGGTGGGAATTATTTATTAATAATTTCTTGTTTCCTGGTGTGTTCATTGTTTGCTGTGATGATTTTTCTCCATTTATATTTAATAAAAGATGACCAAGATAAAAAGGTGGAGACACTGACGGCACCCTCCAAAAAGCCAGACCTGTCCCTTTTCCATCAAGAGACAAAACAAGAAGCAGGGCCAGGGAAGAGGAAAGGTTTGTCAAAGAAGCAAAAGACAGAGAATGGTAAGATGGTGCATCTGTAAAGAGATGTGGGTAGCAGCTCCTGAGACCTCGCCCATGTACTGTAACCACTGGCATTCTAATGCAAGTCTAAAAAATGCTGCTTTAAAAAGTTTCTTTACAGGTGTGCTAAGAATGCTTGTGTTTTAGTCATTCTTGGTTTTGAAAAATAATTAATAGTATGCAAGCTATGTAGAATAAAAATATTCCCCAAATGTTTATACTTAAATTTTTCTAAACATTTTATATTTATTACGATTTTATTATCTGCTAATTGGACATATTAATAATTTTTAAAAGTTATTTATTTAGGTGTTTTGAGATTGTCTCATGCACAGGCTGTCTTCTACCTCACCATGTAGTTGAGGATGACTGACCTGATTTTCCTACTTATAGCGCCTGAGTGCTAGGTTCATCTGTCTGAGGATGCCAGGGCATTAGCCTAGATTTCTTACTATGTCCTACAAATTTGCATGTGTTTATGGTAGTTATCCAGTTAAAAGTGACAAAGCAATCTTACATTTCAGAATTTTCCAGAGAATGCTGGGCTATAAGGTTTATGGAGATTAAACAGCAATGTTCACAAATGGTGCCGGGCTATCATATTACTTAGTGCTAGAAAACAGTGTTTGGAAAGAGAAATGATGAAGTTTTATTACGTTAAGATTATGGTATGTCAGCTATAAGTTATATTTGATACAGTTATACTTCTCCAACTTTAAGTAAGAGGTAGGAATTATTAACACAAAAAATCCTTATGGGGGAGGTAGTACAAGATGAAATCCAGGGTCTTAGCGTTGCCACTAAGTTGCACCCTTGTGCCCTGAATGATTGAGTGTAAAGGGATATAGTGAGATTTTTCATCTGGGTATAGATATTTGTTATCTCTAAAGAAGATATATTCAAATTCTTTGTAGAGTTTCTCACATTAAAATAGGGAGCAAAATCTGCAGGCTTCATTCTGTGTCCCCTCTCACCCCCCAAGACAGGACCTCTCTGTGTAACCTCGTTTTTTTCCCTGGAACTCAATAGACCAGGCTGGCCTCAAACTCAGAGATACACCTGTCTCTGCCTCCCTAAGTGCTAGGATTAAAGGCATGCACACCACACCCAGGCCTTCCTCTGTTCTTGATAAGTATGATGTGCCCTAGAACTGAAAGGTATAACTGTTAAAATGAGAAGCTATTCTGCAAGCAGGAATGACTGATTTTGTACTTATCTTAGGAAAGAAACTTATTTTATAACGATCACGTGTGGGTTGGCAAGGATGCAGAAAGCTATGGGTTTCATCATCAGCACTGCTAAAACCAGGCATGGAGGTACACACTGCCTAGGGAATCTTTAGAATCATCCTGGGCTGTATAGTGAGCTCATTGCCACTTATAAGAGTAATACATCATCATAAATAAAAAGAATTGCCTAACAGCACTAATGAAATGAAAAAGGTTAATCTTCTGTTCAGACAGAGAAGTGGCTTGGTGATGTAGCACACCTATAATTCATCTCTTAGAAGGTTGACGCATGAGGATCCTGCATTCAGGGCTGTCCTAGGCTACACAATGAGATCTTACCTCATAAACAGAAGACAAACTCAAAGATCAAACAAGCGTTAGCTAAAGGATAGATGTAAGAAGTTTCTAACACCATTAGAGAAGATATACCTCATTTTAAGAAGGCTTGAGTGACTTAAGAACTTTAAACTGATACTCTAGAAATCATGTTAAATGATGAAATGGGAGTTTGAAACTAAACTGAGTTAATTGTAGAGATTTTAGAATCACTGTATTTGTAATTTAAGTATGTCTGTATATTGTTTAATTACTCTTGTTATAACAACTCAGTAATTATGATCTTATTACTTAAATTTCAGTCTTGGTAGATGAGCCTCTTATTCATGCAACTGCTTACATTCCTTCGATGGATAATGCTAACTCAAATCTCGTGGATAAGAGAGAGATTATTGATATGATTAAACCTGACCATGTAGAAGGGATCCATAAATCTTCAGCTAAAAAGTTGAAGATTGAAACTGACAAAGGTAGTATGCCAAATGTTGTGATCTGTTAAGTTATAAAATTATGATTCTGAGTGCTTGGACCGATTTACATTTTATCATAGGCTCAGTGAATTGTAAAAGACTAATAAGCATCCTTGAGGTAAAAGACTTGTAGTTCAGGGCTTCTTATCTTTTAAACACTTGACTATCTTGCAATCCTAGGTATATAAAATTGGTATGCCAACAGAACATTTACTGCTAATAAGTCAAAGGAATTGGTTTCAGAACAGTTCTTTGGTGTACATATAATTTTACCATATTTTAAAGTTAAAATAAAATTTGTATTCTAATGAGATGAATATGCTTGTTTATTTTCACATAAAGAATTGAATGTTGATTAAGTATTTGGTATTGAAGGACAACTTTATCTTTCTGAATTGGTTTATTTTAAAATCCTCTATACTGAAAATGTTGCTTCATATAAATATATATAGTACAAAATGACAGAAGTATGTTTAGGGCTATTTCAGAAATTGTTGGAAATTCTATCTTAATCCTAAGCCAAAATTTATTTAGCATTAAAAAAACGAAAACAAAACCTCAAGTTGGTAAGTGAAACAGTATTTAAAAAATCAAGCATTCTAACAACACAAAACTAGAGAACACACTGAGGAATGACAGTAGGAAAACATCAGTTTATCATTTTTTGTCATTAAGCTGTTGTTTCTATAAGAGCAGAGGACTTTGTATGTGCTGTAAAGACATATCAGTTTATTTCAGGCACTCTGCTGTGGTCTTTTTGTTCATTTGTTTTGGTAATTGGGTACAAGCTAGGGTCATTTAGGAAGAGGGATCTTCAGTTGAGGAGATAACTCCTCCATTAGATTGCCTGTAGGTGACTCTGTGGGGGTATTTTTTTTTTTTTTTTTTTGATGAATGTGGGCAGGCCTAGCTTTTGGTGGGCAGTGATGCCCCTTGACTACTGAGCCATCTCTCCAGCCCCTAAAGATTGCTTTAGCTGGGCCTATTCCTATACTTGTAATACTCTGAAGAGTGAGAAAGAGGATTCTAAGTTTAAGACCAACTCAGATTACATGAAGAGATGTTGTCTGGGTATATAAGAACAGCTTTAAGTTTACATCACAATTGAGTAGCAAATGTGGAATTTTCATTTACTCCTTCATTCCACTTATGCACACAATTGTTTTTTAAACAAGTAGTGCGTCTGATGTGTAAAAAATCTTAGACTGTCTACTTTGGGTCTCCAGGGTAGAAGTTCCTTGAAGAAAGGGAATTTGTTGCTTAGCAGGGAGCCCTAGGGGAATTAGAATAGGTGAATCCAGAGGCATTTCTGCATACAGTGTTTTAATGTATATTTGTATATAGTTGACTTTTTAGAAGCAGATTGCATTGTTAGAATTATCGTAGACTTATTTCTCAGTGGAATTTGGTTTACAAAGTCAGGATTATTAAAGTTAAATGAGGATACTGTGAATATACCTGGTATAGATGCTGGCATATACTAAATGTTTAAATGCCTTTAGAAGTGAGGCAGGACTGGTGGGATGCCTTAGTAGGTAAAGGTGTCACCAAGCTTGGTGACCCAAGTTCAAGCCTTGGGACTCAAACATGGCAAAAGGATAGAATCTGAGGATAGAATCTCAGGCAAGTTTTTCTCTGAATTGCACATGTATGTTCCCCTCCCAAACAGACAAACACATAAATAAAGGATAAAAAGCGAGAGCATACTGGCATCTTCGTATTATGTAGTTTGGGAAAACTTTTAGCTAATTTAACCTTTCTGTGGTACAGATGGTAAGCAGGTGCTTTCCCTCTTGGTAAAATTGTCTATTGTTACTTGACCTGAAAAGTCCATTTTCTTGTGGTTTTTAGCTTTCTGGGTCAGGAAGTTTTTATGTTTACCTTTGCTCAAATTATTGTTGGGTCTCTGCTGCTAACTCTCCTGCTTTTGTTTTTCAATAAAGAAAATGCTGAAGTGAAGTTTAAAGATTTCCTGTTGTCCTTGAAGACTATGATGTTTTCTGAGGATGAGGCTCTGTGTGTTGTAGACCTGCTGAAGGAGAAGTCTGGGGCAATAAAAGATGCTTTAAAGAAGGTGAGCACAGGTTTTGGTTGTGGCCAGTTGTGAAGGATTGTTAAGTTTTCCAGGCAAGAGGTGCCATAGTGATGACTTGAATATTCCTGTTCTTAATGTCCTCATAGTCACCTCTAAATGTTGAAGAATGCTTTAGAAGTCATCTCATATCTGTGCTAATTTATGTAATTGTTTATTCAGGCATCCTTTGAGTTATCTGCTGCTTTGACAAAAGCTACTTTTTAAAATAGGCAAAATTTTTATGGCTTTGAAGTTACTTTGCTCTTCACTGAGTTGGATCATGCTCTGCTTTAACTAGAAATCTTGATGAAGTCAACATCAGGATTTCTAGATAGAAAACACAAGATTTGAATTTTTTTGGGGGGGGGTCACAGGGTTTCTCTGTATTTCTTTGGAGCCTGTCCTGGAACTAGTTCTTTAGACCAGGCTGGCCATGAATTTACAGAGATCTGCCTGCCTCTGCCTCCCGAGTGCTGGAACTAAAGGCGTGTACCACCAATGCCCCACTCACAAGATCATACTTTTTTGATCCAAGATTTCACATTGGAAAGACCCTAGGACCTTCTGTTCAGTGTGAGTGTCTCTGTGTGATTGTAATGTTTCTCTTCAAGAATATATAATTTGGGGCTGGGGAGGTATCTTTAGTCCATAAAGTGCTTGATATGCAAGCATGCGAGTCTGAGTTTGCTTTCTAGAACTTGTCACTGGGTATATGGCTTACCATGATCATTTAGTGCTCTGTTTCTCATCTCTTGGACTCATGTAAAATACTGGGTGTGGTGGCATGTGTGCTTACAGGGTTAGTGCTGAGGAGACAAGAGACATGAAGATCCTGGGGAGGATTTGTCATGCTCACTAGTTTGCTAGATGGCCAGGACAAAGAGAGACCCTGCCTCAAATAAACAAAGTTGATGGCCATCTTGAGAAGTAACACTTGATGATGACCCCTGACCTGCACACTTTTGTGTAACTCCCTTCCCCCTTTCAGATGGTGGAATCACTGCTATGACTAACAAAATCTGTTAAAAAAAAAAAAAACCTCTGCTAGGCGGTGGTGGTGCATGCCTGCAATCCCAGCACTGGGAGGCAGAGGCAGGTGGATCTCAGTGAGCTTGAGGCCAGCCTGGGCTACAAATCAAGTTCCACTTCAGCCAGAGCTGTTACACAGAGAAACCCAGTCTCCAAAAAAAAAAAAACAAACAAACAAACAAAAAAAAAACAACAAACAAACAAACAAAAACAAACAAACAAAAAAACAAAAACAAACAAACAAAAAACAAAAACAAACAAAAAAAACCAAAACACAAAGAAACAAAACCTCCAAAAACCAACCCCCCCCATCCCTTGAAAACAAAACCCCGTATAACTAACATTGTTTATGTGGTTCATGTTAACTATATTGTTGTATATACTTTGTCATATGGAAAAAGTGTCAAGTTTGTAAGGGTTAACCTGCAGAAAAGATGATCCGGTATTCTGATATTCAGTGTTGTATGGTTGACTTAATTTTCCTTATTTTCAGTCATGGTACACACCTACATGCATTCCTCCTCATCTGCTTAGCTACCTTTAAAACCAGTTGGATTTTATCTTGAAGACCATGCTAGTGTGAGTTGTCAGCTATGTCAGCTACCACCTGCAGTAGTCTGGTTTTGATTTTCCTCTTAGATCTCTCATCTGTTTTTCTATGTACCTGTGTGGTGATCTTCAAGAGGTTATTTACTCACTGTTTAAAGTCCCCCTTGGTGCTTATTTTCTGCATGTAGACTAGTATACTTTCTTCTTCTTCTTTTTTTATTTATTTTTGAATTTGTGTGTGTGTGTGTGTGTGCTTTTTTTGGGGGGGGGTTGAGAGCTTTTGTTTGTTTATTTTTTTTACATCTCAACCAAAGTTTCCCTTTTCTCTCCTCCCATGAATGTCAGCCAGCTATTATATGTCAGGTTGCAAAGAGACTAGATACTTCTTCTGTTAAGGCTGAATGAGGCAATCCAGTAGGAAGAAAGGGTCCCAGAAGCAGGCAGCAGAGTCAAGAGACAGCCCCTACTCTCACTTTTAGGAGTCTGATAAGAGGAGCAAGTTACACAATTGTAACATTCATGCAGAGGTCCTAGGATGGTCCCATGCAGGCTCCCTGGTTGTAGGTTCAGTCTCTATGAGCCCCTTTGAGCCCAGGTTATTTGCTTCTGTGGGTTTTCTTGTAGTGTCCTTGACCTCACTGTGTCCTACAGTCCTTCCTCTCTGCCTTCTGCAGGGTTCCCTGAGCTCCCCCTAATGTTTGGCTGTGGGTCTCTGCATCTATTTCCATCAGTTGCTGACAGTTGGGCTAGACACCCATCTATGAGTATAGCAAAATATCATTAGGAATCATTTCTTTGACTTTTTCCCCAGTCATATTTGGTTCTAGCCTAGGTCTATGGGGGTATCCTGCCTCTGGGTCCTGGCCCTCAACGGGTGACCTCCCTTTTAGGTTATGGGCCTCTGACTGGGCAGTCATTAGTTGGTCAGTCCCCCAATTTTTGTACCATCTTTACCCCAGTGTATCTTGTAGGTAGGTTGAAGTGTTTGTGTCTGGTTTGGTATCTCAGTCCCCCTACTAGAAGTCTTGCCTGGTTACAGGAGATGGCCGGTTCAGGCTATGTATCCCCTATTGCTAGGAGTCTTAGCTAGGGTTGCCCTCATAGATTCCTGGGGGTTCCCATTGTGCGATGTTTTTATCTCATCCCACAGATGCCTCCAGATTCCAGCTGTCCCTCTCAGTACTCTTTCCCTCCACCCCCTACCTGATCCCTCTTGTTCCCATCCCTGTTCTCCCTTCCAGCCCCCCCCCCCCCAGCCACCCACCCCTCATCCACTGGCAGTGTCCATTCTTTTTCTCCTTCAGAGTGAGATTTATGCAGCTCTTTTTCTTTGTAGCTGTGTTTAGTGACATTTTTCTTAACATCCATTGTATTTTAATTGAACTAGCTCTTATTTGGTTCTTCTAGCACAAGTCTTTTTCTTCCTTGCCAGTATCACTTTCTCATGTATGCCTAACTTGATAACTAATTACTCTAGTTGTGTGTGTGTTATGTCAGAAACTTTTTCTTGTCACAGCATTGTAAATCTGTCCATACTTTGGATGTGAAGGCAGTATACCTAGCAAGTCTGACATTTTACAATGTTGTGTGTTGCATACATACAGTATGCTAGCTAGTCTGTCTGTGTGGGTGTACCAGCAGTTGTCCAATGTAAGTGAAGTGTACAAGGCATTCATCAGCCTTGTGACTTTGAATATAAACTTAAATTGTTGTGTTGTAGTGAACTTTCTTGGTATATTTTTTATTTTTGAATCTTAATTTTTAAAAAATATTTGTTTGTTTATTTATTTATTTCCAGACAGGGTTTCTCTGTGGCTCCAGAGCCTGTTCTGGAACTCGTTCTGTAGACCAGTCTGGCTTTGAACTCTGAGATCTACCTGCTTCTGCCTCCTGAGTGTTGGGATCAAAAGTGTGTGCCCCTATTGCCCAGCTTTCTTGCTATTTTTCCTTTTAATATTGTATTTATTTTATGTGTGTTGGTACTGCCAGGAGCAGATATGTCTCATTGTCATAAAAATTACCTATGTTATTAAAACATTTAAAATGCCATATTCTATAGATCTCTGAAGTGCTTGAAGACAACCTGTCTATCTAAAATATATCTCTGTTTGACTTTGAAAACATACCTAATGTGATTATAAGTCTAATTGTAATAGGTGATGGATTATTCACCTACATTTCCTTATTATCTTATATAGTTGGTAATAATAACTTTCAAGAACTAGAAATTTGCATTACATTGATAAATGAGCTATATAGGTACAATAACTTGGACAATATTAGAAACATGTACAATATGTCTTAACAAATGAATCTCACATTTATATCAATATACAGTATTTGTATATAATATACAGAAGACCAATTCAATGTAAAATATTTAAGACTAGTTGTTGCTTTTAAAAAGTAGATTCAATAATCTACCTTCTATCTACCTCATATCTATATGTTTTAGAGGAAGATTCAATAATCTACCTTTTTATTTTATCAAAAACCTTGAATCTATTCCCCTTTATTCAATTTTCTTCCTGGCCAAAACCAACAACATTTTGTAACCAATTCCCTAAACAATGACAAATATCCATAACCAATTGTATGACCAAAGTATCCACATTATAGTAGAACTACTGCTGGACTTCCCACTAACCAGTGCAGGCAACAGGTGAACCAGTGGGTAAACACTGCTCATTATAATGCTTCTATTGAAAGAATGCAGTTTGATGGAACTAGATGGCAAGAATATGAAGTGAAATTCAGGCTGTTTATGTGAAAAAAAGTAAAACAACAAATAATTGAATCTTTTTTCAAGGAAAGAGTGGAATGCAGGGAGAGTAATGTTTAACCTCACTAAACTGTCAAGTCCAAAATCAACAAAGCAGAATCCTAATATGGCAAAATCTTAGAAGTAGAGTTTCTGCAAAACCTTGTTGGAGACCCATAGAAACACAATGGTAGCCAACAAGTTTGAAGAAGTATGGCTGGACCGCCAAGGTTCTGGCCTACCTACAAACCAGAGGCAGGGAGGGCCCCGGGCCCACTATCAAACCATGGAGTCAAGACTAGAAGCAGGTAGGCTGTGGAAAATAAAAGGACAATTAGAAGTGGCAATTAGAAATGCTGTCATTAACAGATTGTGAAAGGAAGAAAAAATGAAGCTATTGTTTTAATGTAGCCATGGTGGAGTGGCCCTCTTCTAAGAGGGTTCCTTTCTTGAATGAACAGTCTTTATGATGGGAGTGGATAAGGGTGAAATTGCCCTTGTCCTCTTTGAGGCTGTGTAGGCAGTGAACCCTTTTGTTCTGTTGGGGCCTCCCATAGAATCCTTGCTCGCTGTGCTCCTAGTATAGTAAAGTTGGTACAACTTCTGTATTGTTTTCTCATTTCCTTCATGTATCCTTTACAGCTGTCTTCCAAGGACATTCTCCCTGGAATTGCATTTGTCTCTCATTTGAAATGGGACTTTATTTATTTATTTATTTATTTATTTATTTATTTATTTATTTATTTCTATTTGGCAATGGTGCCTGTTGACATCAGAGACCTGGATACTGGAGGTATCTGGGCATGTTTTGACAGAGTTTGAGTACTGTGTTTGATCTTCACTGCTTTGTCTGTCTTTCCTGTACTGTGCTTTTGAATTACACATTGGTGAGAGGTCACATTTGATTTCAGAGTCTCTCAATCTTTTGGAAAAATAAGGAGGGGAAATTGCTGTTTTTGAGTTTTGGGCTTGTAAGTGTTTGTTCTATACTTCTTGGTTAAATATGTTTCTACTCTAATTGTACTCTGCTAATTTTAGATATGCACTGTTAGAGTGACTTATTTGATTTTATTTGACTGACTAGTATGTAGCAGTCATCCTATTTTGGATGTTGTAATTCCATTGACCGAGGGCTCTTGATGGCAGCTAGTTCACACTCACAGTTTTCAATAGATCGTGCTAACTTGCTCATTCTGTCTTGACTTCAATTACAGTCAAGTAAAGGAGAGCTGAGTGCTCTTCTACACCAGCTTCAGGAAAAGGAGAGGCTGCTGGCTGCTGTGAAGGAGGATGCCGCTGCCACAAAGGAGTGCTGTAAGCAGTTAACGCAGGTGAAGACATTCTTAGGTTAAGGGCTGAGCTTCCTGAGTCAGCAGTGCCACCTTAAAGACCACCAGGGCTCCTTGACTTAATTTTTTGTGTAAAAGTTTATACACTACAAAAGTGATTTTCTTTTAGGATTTTGTTATGGAAGGCTTGCAGTCTTTCATGATAATACAGATAAAATAAAAATATTTATTAGACAGTCTAACCAGAGTAGGAAAACCATTGTGCTTAACAGAAGAGTTTGTTTGATGTGTATCTGCTCTTCACAGAAGTATAACATCCAATTATGTGATATGTGTGAAATTATGTTACTCATGCATGGAAAGTCGTGTGGTAGTCACTTCTTTAAGCCATTTTAAAAATGCTGTATAGAATAATGAACAAAATTGGAACTCTTGAGAGAATGTGGTCTTCTCCATTACATGCAATAGTATAGACGAGCAGTGTGCCATCTCTTTGCCACCCACTTGATGGTGTAAATCCTTAGTGTGCTTTTGATCAGTGAGAAAATCAGTGGAAGCATAGATTCTGAGAGCCTGCTTCCTTATAGGCAGCTGTAATATAATTGGATGTGAATATCACTTAATAGTGATATTTTGAAGTTTGAAAAAGATCGCTAAGCTACTTTTTGACGTTTTGGTTGTGAGCCTAGCCTTTAATAACTAATTATTTCTTCAGTCCACTAAATTACTTTTTAGTAACTCATCGTCCAGTATACTGGGGATGTGTATACTTGGTAACTAAGTTAAATAGACATAAAAAGATCTGACCTAATTATCCTCAAATGAAATTTATTAATACTTTTGAACACCATATTTTATATGGAGTTAAATGAAGTGCAGTACTTGTTTTTCTGTTTTGTTTTGGGACAGTCTTTGGTAGCCCAGCTGGTCTAAAATTGGTTGTTAGCTGAGAATGACCTTGAACTCCTGGTCCTCCCTACCACCTCCAGGTGCTGGGATTATAGATTGTGCCAAACACCTGGCTTTAGTATGGAGCTTTTGTAAACAACATACATTCTTTTTTTTGCTGTTGGTTTTTGTTTTGTTTTGTTTTTTGAGACAGGCTTTCTCGGTATGCACTACCACCTGGTTTAGTATAATTTTTTAAAAAGAAATTGATAAGTGTATTGTATATCAGTATAACAACTTTCAAATATAAATCTTAAATATGAAATAGAAGCATATAAATTCATAAATTACATAAAAACTTAAATTTTGCCATAGTTTCTTAAAGCAAGAATGTGTTCATACGTTCAGATAACTAAAATTGCTTTTGCTTTCTGACTTAGCCATTTTCAAGTTTTTTTTCTGCTTTAGACATACCCTGTCAGAAGAGAGGCCTCCCTTTATTTCCCACCCTAACACCTTTCCCAGTGTTTTTACTCAACTAGAAAGGAGAGTAAGAAGCAATTACTGTTTTTTCTTAAAATAGCATGTAAGCCTTATTTAGGCTCACAGCCTTTAATGATTAAATAAAAAAAAATACATTTGAAATAGAAACAAATTGGTGAGTGTTTGTACTATGAAGGGAATTGTGAAGAGTGGGAAGATGCCGAGGACTCTTGGTTTTTAATTCCCCAGCTTTGCTTTGTACCCAAGCCCTGATTGAGCGTTCATGATTTTGTTACTGTTAAAACACTGGCTTGTTTTGATAGTGTTGTAATATCTTTTTCATGACAAGTTCTTCATACATTTCTTTTCTGATTTACTGTTCTAGGAAATGATGACAGAGAAAGAAAGAAGCAATGTAGTTATAGCAAGAATGAAAGATCGGATTGGAGCACTAGAAAAGGAACACAGTATATTTCAGAACAAAATGCACGTCAGCTACCAAGATACTCAGCAGATGCAGATGAAGGTGTGTTTGAAGTCTTGAGAAGTAAGAGGAAACGTGTCTATTCATTTAATTTACAGCCGGTTAAGTGCCTTGTACAGGTTGGACCATTGGCATAGTGGCTAGTTAAACTCACTTCTCTTCATTCTGTTGTAAATAAATGTTTTTTTAAAAAAATTTTTCTTTTTCATAATTTTTTATTTAAATTTGGAACAAGCTTGTTTTACATGTCATTCCCAGTTCCTTCACCCTCCCCTCCCCTCCTCTCCTATATCCCCAACCCCCTTCCCTTCCCCTTTCTGCTCCCCAGGGAAGGGGAGGCCTTCCATGGGGGATCTTTAAAGTCTGCCATATTATTTGGAGCAGGGCTCAGGCCCTTCCCCATGTGTCTAGGCAAGAAAGTATCCCTCTATGTGGAATGGGCTCCCATTCATGCACTAGGGATAAATGCTGAACCATTACCAGAGGCCCCATCGGCTGCCCAGTCCTCCTAACTAACATCCACATTCAGGAGGTCTGGGTCGGTTTTATGCTGGTTTTCCAGCTATCAGACTGTGGTCCATGAGCTCCCCCTTGTAAATAAATGTTCTATATGGAGATAAGGTAGGAAGGCTGGAAGATAGGAAAATATGCCATGCCTGTAGAGGTAAGCATTGTGTGTTTTGCTATAGTGGAGTTAGGAAGGTGGGAAAGAGTGTTGATAGTAGATAGGAGAGTTTAGACACAGTATTCAGACTTTGTTGGATCATTCTGGATTAACTTTGTCAAGAGAGACTGAAGGAATGGGGGGAGGCTTTAAGAGTTATTTGGTATAATTCTTCATTTTCATCTCTGTTGATGGTGGGTCATTGGCTGTATTTTGGAATCTCAGAACTTTGTGAGTAATACAATAAAAGTTTTAAAAGTTGAGAGCCAAGGTTGGAATGAAGAAAGATACAGAAATAAGTATGGACCCATTTAAAGGACCCCCTAACCCTGAATATTGGACAGCCAGTGAATGAATTTAGGGAAGCCAGAAGAGTGTGATTCATTGTACTTTTTAGTGATTACTCCGGCAGCAGTGTGGAAAGAGAAATAAGGGGCAGTGAATGTTTGCAGGAATCAAGTCCCAAGAGAAACTAGGTGTTGACAATGAGAAGCTGAGTTGGACTGATCCAAAGAGGTGGATGTGCTTGGCATTACAGTGGGAGAGAGGGATGTAGGGAGTGATGATTCTCAGAGGGTTAGTGAAAGAGACTGCTGTGTTCTGGTGGCCATACACCTTTTGCCAGTCTCTGAATGTTTCCAGAGATCTGGTTCTTAGGATATTTTCCATATATCATTAATTTTCAAGATTTCAGTTGGGTCTGGACCAATGAATTCTTACTCCCTTTCTTTTTTCTTCCTTCCATCCTTTGCAGAACAAGGCTTAGATTTGTCAGTTGAGTTTTGATGTTCCCCATAATGAAACTCTTCCAAATTGTCACTTCTGTTTGCTGGCTAATGCCAGCATAGGATTGTACACATCTGAGGTTGAACATAATTATCTATGTCAGATTCTTACTGATTAAGTTGTTTTTATTTTGCAATCATTTAAGACCTTTTCCTTATAGTGGATCCTTTGACTTTTGTGTTTATTGCTTAGTTTACAAATTGGTCTGAATCTTACAGATACTTTATATAGTGTTAAGTGTCTCCCTGTTGACCTGAAAAAGGATGGTTTGGATTTCATTTTCCGAGTGCCTTTTACTCTCTTACTATAGTGGACTTTCTCTTAAAGGTGGGTTTGTCGATCTTTGTTTACTAAATTTGTATTTTTAAAATAGTTTCAGCAAGTTCGGGAACAGATGGAAGCAGAGATAGCCCATTTGAAGCAGGAAAATGGTATACTGCGAGATGCTGTCAGCAACACTGCCAACCAGCTGGAAAGCAAGTATGTCTCCCAGTTCTCCATTCTCAACTGAATGACACACTGTTTCTTCTGTTATCCAAAGGATGCTTGAGAAACTGCTGAGACTTTTGCTTCTTCCATTTGCTTCTAATCTTGTTCCAAAAAACAGCTGTTTTCTTTGTGAGGAGAACTCTGTAAAGCCCCTTGAGCATCTCTGTTGCCAGCGGGGTTGCACACATGTACCGAAGCTGTCTCTCTCCATCTCAAAACTTCTTACATTTCATTATTCTCAATAGCACCTGTGATGCTAATTTCAAAAGCATAGTCTTGGTCCTCCTACCTCTATATAATATAGATTGTGATCCAGGAGCCCAAAAGTGGAGCCCAGGTGATTCATGGGCCATTTCAGAAACTATACTTTAGAAAGGCTAGTAGTCTTGCACAAAGTAAGCACTCTTAACTGGTAATTTATTTATTTGTCTTCAATAATGAAGTGAAAGCTTATTCATAGGATTTAAAAATTATCTCTTCCACTGGACAATAGGATTAGTCCTGTTACAATGATGTTAGTATTAAGAGGGTGATGGTGTTTGATAACATGTAATTTACTTAATGTCTATGAGTATTTTGCCTCTGTGTGCCTCATGTATGCCTGGTACCTATGAGAGGCCAGAACAGTGTGTTGGATTCCCTGCAGCTAGAATAAGGGTGATTATGAGCCACATGTGGGTGATGGGAACTGAACCTGGACCTTCAAAGCCACAAGTGCTCTTGACTTCTGAGCTTTTTCTCCAACCTCTGTATTAGGAGACTTTTAGTTTAATGGTAACATTGTCTGTTTATACTTCTCTTAGTTTTTGGTTATCCATTTTTAAAATATTTTACAGTGATTTTCAAATTTAAAATTATCTTATTGAGTATATGGCACAGCATGTGTTTCATGTCCTGTGTTCCATGGATTGTATACACAGGACACACAACAGCTTTGGGGAGTCAGTTCTCTCCTGCCACTGTGGAATCTGGGGATGGAGCTCAGGTTGTTTGGCTTGCATAGCTTTTACCCTCTTAGCTGTCCTGTCAGCTCTGTAGTGTGCATTTTAGAGCTTGCTATGGTGATTTGAATATTTAGGGGTACACTAGTACACTTAGGGGAACAATATTGCTACTTAGTCATGTTCCTTTACATTTGCCTGTAAGTGGGTCACCAGCTTAGCACAGCTAAATTCTTTAGGTGTGCAACAGTGCAAAGCCCTAATCTAGTCACTGTTTTCAGGCAGTCTGCAGAGCTAAATAAACTGCGTCAGGACTGTGGGAGGCTGGTGAATGAGCTGAATGAGAAGACAGGGAAGCTGCAGCAAGAGGGAGTCCAGAAGAAGAATGCAGAGCAAGCTGCTACCCAGTTGAAGGTGACACCACCTTGCCTCTTTGTACCCTTTTGTCAATGTTATTGATATCAAGCTTCATGATCTAAATGTGTATGTAGAGTGGAGAAATGTAGTGTGAAGTCTAATGAGACCCACGAGGTAAGGGCTCTGCCTTTTCAATGAAAGAATTGAATGTAGGCCTGGATTTGAAGCTGAAGACTGATGATTGAAAAATGAAACCAAGTGGTTGACAAATAAGGGTAGAATTCTGTCTTATGTGTGGTGGTTAGAGTCTGCATATGGAAGGCAAACATTATTTTAGAAAAGCACCTTTAGCATTACTCTTATATATAACTTGAATTCATCATCAAGTCCAATAGAATCCCTCCTAGAATTGCAACCCCTCATTGAAATAGGGTTGTTTTGTTTTTTTCCTTCTTTTGATCACAACAGCAGAGTACTCCAGTGGTTTGCATTTGAGCCCATAAACTTGAAAAAAGTATGAAAAAAAAAAAATCATACTTTTTCCAAATCCCAGAATGATAGTGTGTGTGGTGAGCTGCTTATGTTGTCGGATGTGGTGGGTTGCTCAGACTGATTGAAGGAGGAACAGATGTATTCTTTCATATTACCTGAATTCTGGAATGTAGGTGTTTTGAGGAATGGTGGCTACCTGTTCCTCCTTTCACTGAGAAAAAAGATTTTCTAAAAATGTATAGTTCAATTTATAGATGTTATATGCAGTGTGACTATTAGATCCTCCATCTATATTGATATATAGCATATTCCGAGACCAGTTAGTTCCAGACAGTTTCATAATTACCATCAGAAAATGCATAACTACTCCCCTCCCAAAGTTTTGATGAATCCTATGTGAATGTGACATCAATGTCTTTCCTTTAATACTGGATTTTCTGGGGGATTTATTGCTGACATGGATGAGGAAATGTGTTCTGTATAGATTTGAATAAATAATAAGTGGCATTAAAATTAATACTCTTGGTGTTTTGTAATATGTATATTTCAAAATGTGAACTTTAGGTGCTTACTGAGATTTAGCAATAAAGGTATTATCTTGTCTCTTAAAAGCTTATGGGCTTAAGGATGATTGGTGAACAATAGGTCATAGCTGGTGGACAAGATAAGGATGTAGCAGCAGCTGTCTGTCTTTATCCGACAGTGCATGCAATTGCATTTCTGAGATAGTGGATGAGATGGGGGATGTGCCTGACAAATGCCCTCACCACCTTTTTTTTTTTTTTTTTTTTTTTTTTAAAAACAATTGAAATCATGTCTGTTTGTGTTGCTTTTTCTTCCTCTCTTTCAATTTCAAGGTTCAACTACAAGAAGCAGAGAGGAGGTGGGAAGAAGTTCAGAGCTACATCAGGAAGAGAACAGCAGAGCATGAGGCTGCACAGCAAGGTAAAGGAAGAGGCATTTGCGTAGACTGGAAACTCTTCTGTATGCAGAGAAAGGTTATTGTTTGTTCATGGTGTGGGACACAGTGATGCTTCTCACGCTGCCTGGTATCTCCTGTCATTAAGCTTTTTGATTTAGGGTGTTCCCCTGTTCTTCTCTGCCAAGTTAGTGGTCGTCTTTAAGTTCATTTTGTCTTCATTTATTGTGACTTTGAGTTAAAATGGTTTATATATGCTTTTTAGATATATCTTTTTTTTGGGTGTTATCTATAGGAAGGAAGAAAGGCAAACAGAAAAGTTATCTGTCATTTCAAATTACTTAAATGGCATTTTAAACGTTAGCTTTAACATAGTAGATTTTCTTGGTGACTCTCTGTGTAGCAGAGTTCAAGGAATTATATGAAATTTGCTAGCATAATTATTCATGTATCTCTGGGGGAATAAAAAGTACTTTTAAGAAATGGTATAGTCATTTAATATTTTTGTATCCTATTTAGTTAATGTTTATTGAATATTGTGCCAAGCCTTAGGCATAGCTCTAGATATAGAGGCAAGACAATCTCTGACCCAGAAGAACTCACTCATAGGACAGGAATTATACAAGGAAGGATGAGCTGCTGCACCTGCAGAAGGGTACGGAAAGATCTGTTTAAGTGCTTCAGAGAAGGGGGCACACACACACATGTACGCACACACGCACACGCACATACAAACACACACAAAAGGTGAAAGAAGAAGCGTTTGTAAGATGTAGTATTTTTGTTTGCTATAGATTTACAAAGTAAATTTGTGGCCAAAGAAAATGAAGTCCAGAGTCTGCACAGTAAGCTCACAGACACCCTGGTATCAAAACAGCAGTTGGAGCAGAGACTGATGCAATTAATGGAGTCAGAGCAAAAGAGGGTGAGCAAAGAAGAGTCTTTGCAAATTCAAGTTCAGGTATTTGTTTCTCTCTTTTTAAAAATAGGGGGTTGTATTTATGTGTTTACATGTGTAAGGATAAATAATTAAAGAGAGATCATGAATTAAAAAGAGGGAGAAGAGCCATTGGAGAGGTTGGGGGGGCTAGTATCATTTTAATTTAAAAATTGCAAAAAAAGAATTCAAAACATGTCTATGTAAATGCATTACGTTCAAATAAACTTCAAATAAACTTCGGTGTCTAAATCATAAAGAAAAAGGAATTAGGGTAAGTGTGGTATGTCTTAACCCTTAATAGTGGCAAATAATGAACATTTAGTCTTTGAGCATTTGTTAAAAGATGAGCTCATCCACTTCTTCAGGACTTCCTGGGATAGGGAGAGGGACAGGGACAGGGAAATAGCCAGATGTCTGTCTTGTAAATTAATTCAAAATACAATGCTTGATAAACCAAGAATATGTAAATCATTATGTTAATGTGCACTAGGATATTTATTAATAACACATTTGTCCTTTCTCTTTTTGTTTTCTGTTTATGAAAAGGATATTTTGGAACAAAATGAGGCTTTGAAAGCTCAGATTCAACAATTCCATTCCCAGATAGCCGCTCAGGTAATGGTGCATTTTCAGTTGTGTACTGTTAGTCATAGCTTTCCAGCTGTTTGAACAAGTATCTGAATGTTTGTGTAGTACCAGACTTCAGTATTTGGGAGACTGGTCAATGAATCAATATGTAGTGGCCCCAAGTTTCAAACATTTAATATTATATATAATACTTGCGAAGCACTAAGAACCCCAAAGATGAGTAATTAGAAGGGTTGCATGAGAGTGCTCACCCTTGGGAGGTGACACAGCTCAGGGCTGTGTCACAAAACAAAAGGGATAGCCAGGGGGAGCCTAGAGTAGGGACTGAAACATTGGTTGATGGACTGTCACAGAATATTAACTTAGCCTCTGTAATCTCACACATGCATAGAGGGTAGCTGTATTAAGTTCAGCTCCTAAAGTATATTTGCAGAAGACTCACTGAAATGTGTGATTCAGTTTAGTTGCAGAGTTTTAAATAATGGTATGGTAAGACCCGTTTGACACCATTGCCCCATGCTTTGATTGAAAATACACTTAAATATAAATTTCAGTTTCAGTTCAACTTTTAAATTATAAAAATTATTTGTAGCAACAAGTACTAAAAATTTGACTCCTGGACTGTAGAGTTGGCTCAGCAGTAAAGTGTGCCTGCTGCTGTTCCAGAACCAGAGTTTAATTCCCAGCATCCATAACAACAGGCAGTTCACAACCGCCTAATCCAGCTCCAGGGGAATCTAATGGCCTCCTCCATCATCTGCACTCATGTGCCCATGCCACCCCTTACGACACTTACACATATTCGAAATAAAAAAGAAATTTGACTCTCATGTTAAAAGTTTTTTAACATTATAAGTATATTTTAGAGTTCAGACTCCCAAAGCTTTGTGTACATATGTTTTTCCCCTGATTGCAACATTGTAGAGATGATACTTTAAAATTAATTGAAGTTGGATTGAGATCTTTAGCATCAGCTAACAGACTTGGTCAGAAGTGCCTTTGAGAGTGCTGCGGCCTTTCATAGTGGGAAGGGAGCAGCAGCGCATTCTCCCCAGTCTTAGTCATGGGGTGGGCCATTTCAGAAGACTTAGCTGAGGAAGCGATGATGGGGTAGAGGGGGCCTTTGGGGATGGACCTGCCCTTATGCACTTGTTGCTTGTCAGTTTTGTAGTTTCCAGGCCTGCCCACTTGCTCAAGTCTTAATATTCTGTGACGTGATGTATAATTTCCTAATATGGCTGTTGGTGATCAGGTGTGCTTTCAGACTATAGCTACTCACTATAGGTCAGATTTGTCTTTAACAACTTTATATATGTTAATTTCTCTTGTTCTTAAAAGCTCTGTTGTGATTATTATTGTACAGCGTTTAAACTTTTTCTCAAATGCTCTTATGTTGATAATGTTTTTCTTTCTCAGACCTCCGCTTCAGTTCTAGCAGAAGAATTACATAAAGTGTAAGCCTCCAATTCCACACTTTTCTTATACTTGTGTCATACCCACTAACAGATACTTGTTTGATATAATGCGCAATTAACTTCATATTCTGATCTGGTTGAAAAACTAAACTCTTATTTTGCTTTTTTTTTTTTTTAAGCTTGTGTCTGTTTAGTTCCCAAACATTATATGTTGTTTTTGTTGTTATCATAAAAGAACTGGGCGGACTTCCCTTCATTTGAGACATTGGTAGTCACGTAGAAAAGGTACTTGTGCTTTCAGAGTAGTGGAAGGTTAGTGCTCCTGTCTGCTTTGTACTTGTGGTGCTTTTGTGTCTAGCCCTGTGACATTAGGCTGCACACTCAAAGTAAACTTTCCTTGTTTATGTTGCATAACTGTACCGATATGCTCAGTTGTTTGCAGATGACCTATAATCTGGTTTTGATGTGAGACTTCTTAATGTAAATTAACTTATTTGATTCAAGTTTTAAACAATGTATGTCTATGCAGTTGTGAATCTGTGATTTGAGGCCTCTTTCTGTAGCCCAGGCTGGCCTTGAATTTGTGGTTATCCTCCTGCCTTAGCCTCTTGAGTACAGGTGTGAACCACATCATCCTGCCATAAAATAGGGTCTATTTTGGGCTGGAGAAATAAATGCCTTAGTAGAAAAGGCTCTTACTGATGACCCAAATTTTATCCCCTGGCCTCTCATGCTGAAGGGAAGAGGGAAGGAGCAGACTTGTGAAAGTTGTCCTCTCTCTCTCTCTCTCTCTCTCTCACACACACACACACACACACACACACACACACACACACACACACACACACACACACACACGATATTTTAGGATGTCATGCTTTATGACAGTTATTAGTAGACTGAATAGAGTCTGTAGGAAGATTCCAGGTAAGACTAATCCTTTGTAAATGCTTACTAAAAGCACCAATGTATTTCCTTTCTGAAGGATTGCAGAAAAGGACAAGCAGCTAAAGCAGACTGAGGATTCATTAGCAAATGAACACGATCACTTAGCAAGCAAAGAGGAGGAGCTTAAGGTACAGTAACTTGCAGCTTACTGCTGCAGTATTTTATAGGACTCAATGTTGTAGATAGTCACTATGTGTTATGTATGATTCTGGAACTCAAGGAAAGTGATTTCTCTTTCTGAACTATAGAACTTCCTTAGTGCTAATAGGAAAGCCCAAAAGGTTTACTCAGATGAAGCATTTCATAACAATTTCAGAAATTTGGCAAGTAACAGAAATTGATGATGTTTTGTAGTGATTATTAAAGCTTGCCTGAGGCTTCCAAAAGCAAAGTCAGCCACAAGCTATAGAGGTCAGCCAGTGCTGGCATACTCCTTTAATCCTAGAACTCAGGAGATAAAGGCAGTCAAATCTCTGTTGTTAGTTCAAAGCCACCCAGGGATACATGAGAGTGAATCAGTTTAAAAGGGAATTAGAGCTTACACCTTTAATCCCAGGACTCATGAAAGGTTTTTAAGACAGGATCAGGGTCTCAGAGCTGGGATTCATTCTCCAGCCACATTGAGGATAGGAAGACATTGAAGTCTCAGGATTCTCCAGCCAAGCTGAGGAGAGGCAGCAGTTTGAAGTTTCAAGGAGCCAGGATTGCCTTTCAGTTTGAGTTAGAGGGAGAGCTAGTGCCCAGATGCTTTGCTTTTCTGATGGTCAGCTTGAACCCTGATAATGAGTTTCTGGGTCTTTTATTTTTTTTTTTTTTTTTGTGTTACAATGTTTCTTTTTGGTTTAGGAAATTTGTAATTTGAGATTCTTAAAGTAGAACAGATATGTTGCCACAAGTTTAAAGTAAATTTTATGAAACAACTTTGAATACATGAACTTTTTTTCTTGCTCTAGGATATACAGAATATGAATTTCTTATTAAAAGCAGAAGTGCAGAAATTGCAGGCCCTGGCTAATGAGCAGGTAGACCATTTTTGTTTATTTGCTTCTGAAGAATTTTGATTTGCCTTTTCATGTTTGAGGTTGTGAGCTCAGTTTTCTGTGTGTAATTACTATCCATAATGATTACTTATGTTTGGCTGTGGGATGTGTTATTGAGATTTCTCTGCACAGACATCTCGACGATACCTATTCATATTGGAGGTAACATGATACAACAAATTCTTCATTTCTGAAACAGAGGAGATTGTTAAAACAGTCTTAATGTTCTGCTTGTTTTAGCCTTTTCCTTTTAGTGTATAAAAGGCAAACTTTTTTTATTAGGGAAAATTGACCTCTGAGAAGTAAAAAAATAATGGACAATAAAACACAGAGAGGTACATAGTTTTGTCATAGTTTTAACCCAAATGTATGGAAGTAGAAGTTTTTATGTGGATAAATGAATAGTTTTGATTTTCATTTTCCTCTGATACAGGCCGCTGCAGTTCATGAGGTAGAGAAGATGCAAAAGAGGTGAGGACTGTGTTCTGTGCACACACCGTGCATCCTTGTTCAAGCCCAGTGCCACTTCCCTCTGAGCCTGTGTGTCTAGTTCCTGGAATCCGTGAATGAACTAGTTTTAATTGATACTCTTCTCTCACAGTATCCATGTAAAGGATGATAAAATAAGATTGCTTGAAGAGCAGCTGCAGCATGAAATTGCAAGCAAAATGGAAGAATTTAAGGTGTGTGATTAAGCTTGAGAATTCAGCTTTCTCAGAACAACTTGTTAGGAGTTAAGTTACAGTGACTCTAAAAATGCTAGTTTTTAATAAAGTCATTTGGAAACATCATTTCTTTAGTTTATTTGGTGGCTTATCTAAATAATGGATTTTTAATAGACTTTTTGCTTAAATGTATTTTGTCTTAAGCTAAATGCTTAAACTAAATTTATTTTGCACCAAGCATTCCTTGGCAATCTTTAAATGAACATTTTATATTTGTGCATATTTTTGCTATCTAAGCATGTATGTAACTGCAGCATTGCTGCTATGAACACCTAAAGCAACAGTATGTGGTTGCCTGTTCAAAAACTCAATTCAAATGGTTACGGCCTTGCACTCTCTTAAAAAGTAAATTGGTCTTCATTCTTCCAGATTCTGAGTGACCAGAACAAAGCATTACAGTTGGAAGTTCAGAACCTACAGATTGTTGTTTCTCAACAGGTGAGGCTTTTCATGGTATAATGTGGGATAGGCAGAACACAAGAAGGTCTAGTGAGAAATTGTGCTTAATATTCGATGTGTCTTTCAGTTACACCCTGCTCGTTTTGTGCTGTTTCAAAATTAAAGTTTTGTGTCTCTAAGATGAAGCAAATGTTAATCTTTTCATAAGTATTTTGCAAAAAAAGAAAAAATAATTCCCATTTTTGGAGTCTTAGTCTTTTCATACAGGCAGTACAGTTTCTCAAAAGGAAGAGTGGGTTTGAAACTTACAAGTACCTTGTAATTGCTTAATATTTCTGAGTCCTTCTATTCAGTCTTTCACACCAAAGTTATGCTAAACAATTTCTTAGACTTGAATAGCAAAGCATAAATATATTGTTTAGTCTCATGATTTGCATATAGGTTACATCTAAATTGTTTATTTAAAAAAATGTATGTGTATGCACACATATATAGTGGTATGGTGCATGATAAGGAATGTACATATTCCTTTTTACAACATATATAATTCACACACACACACACACATTCGTAAAAAGGAACACACATGTGTATATGTACATATATACATACATATTCCATCTTACTGCTGTTTTTCTGTTTGAATGGCGCTGTTTCATGAGCCAGTGTCTAGTGTCTTTTCTCTGCTGCTTCCGTGGTATTGCCTTCACATTTTCTCATATAAATCCTCAATTTATACTTTTATAAAATATTCTAGGAGCTGGCCAGACAGCTTTGAAAGGTATTTCCTACCAGTCCTGAGAACCTCAGTTTGGTTTCTGGGAACTATAAGGTAGAAGAAGAGGATCGCCTCCCATAAGCTGTTCTCTGGCCCCCGTATCAGCCATGGGACACCCCCATAAAAAATAAAATGTAACATTTTTACAGCAGAGTAGTCAGGAACTCGTGTTATTTTATGCTACATTAGAATATAAATTTTGTAACTGGGCAGTGGTGGTACACACCTTTAATCCCAGTACTTGGGAGACAGAGCCAGGTGGATCTCTGTGAGTTTGAGGCCAGCCTGGTCTACATAGTGAATTCTGGAATAGCCAAAATTACACAGAGAAACCCTGTCTCGAAAAACAAAACCTAAACAAATAAACACATTAGTGTTTCCTTAATAGTAAGTTTTTGGAATGTTCTTTATTGGGCATGATAGTGTTCTCTTTAGAGATGCTTGCATTATTTGTTTTACAGTTCACAACATACTATACAGTAGTATAGCAAGTATACTATTGATGCAAGTAGCTGCTGCTTGAAGTATTTGTTAATATCAGATTGCCACATCACATTTTCCTTTCCCTCTCTGTGATATGAAATGCTCTGTGTAATTTTTGTTACTTTGTGTATGCTTAGAGGTAGCAGCAAAAAACTTAAATCTCCTTTGTTATATTATAGATTATGAATGATAAAAATTTGATAAATTGTTAGAACCCAAGCCCAAATGGCCATCTGTAAAACTTGAATTTCCATTGTATAGTTTTGCTGGAAGCATTTTTAGTTTTTACTGTTAAAAAGTATTACTTCAGCCCTGGCAACCTTGGTGGGTTAGGTTAGGTAAATTATGGTAGTTTTTTTTTCATGTGTCTGTTAATTCTTACTTGGAGAAGTAGCTTGCAGTGTCTGTGTACTGATTGCCAGAGATTGCAGTATGTAAACTTCAAGTTTTATAAAGTCAGTTTTAGGGAAAGCAGATATCTAGAACCTTAAGAATCTTCCTTACAGTTCTAGTATTTTAACTGTTTTTAGGTGTGAGAAATTCCTGCATTTGAAGAGAAAACCTGAATCTGTATTTCATTCCATTTTTAAAAACATTTGTTTATTAATTTATGTAGCAGTGTGCATGTGAGAGTGAGCACATGCATGTGTGTGTGTCTGAGTGTGAGTGCTCTCTCTCCTTCCACACCATGCGGCTCTGTGCATAGAATCAGGTCCTTAGGCTTGGTGGCAAGGTCCTGCGCCTTCACCCATTGAGCCCTCTTGATAGCTGGGAATCCTGAACCCTTAAGACCCTACTCACAGGGTCTTAAAATAGAAGTAAGGAATGAAAATGAATGCCTTTTCTTACATTTGTCGGATATACTTACATTATTTGTCAATAGAAAAAAAAAAAAAAAATAGACACAACCTTGTGAACATCTGTTCTTTGCCGAACTGGTGTTTCCAACCTCCTGTGATTCCAGATACTGTGATCCTTAGAAAAGACAGCTTTCTATTGTCTTACATAGAATTTTAGATCACACTTGTGGAAATGATGATTTTGAAAAAAAATTCTCTTTTCCTTTTGTTACCAACTCAATTTTCTATGTAATAGGTTGTATACTTGGTGCTCTGTTAGTTTGAGGTAGAGTTCTCTTATGTTTTCTGAACACATTTTTGTAGCCACAATTTTGTATTTATTTTAAAGAATTTAGGAGATGGAACCTCATTTTGTAGGACTAATTAAGATCTACTATTGGTTAATTCTTAAATATATATTCTCTGGTTTTATAAAAAATAAATTAGGAAATAATGAGTAACTTGTATATTTAAAATTTGATTTGTGCCTGAGACCTTTTGTCTTAACAAGTCAACAAAACTTGTACTTTACTTTAAACATTTATTTATTGTGTATATACACTCTGGGGCATTCAGAGAACAGCTTGCAGTATAGTTCAGGAATAATTCTTTCCCTTCATTATGTGAGCCCCAGGCGATTGAACTCAGGCTTGGCTACAGGCACTTTTACTGCCTGAGCCATCTTGCCAGCCTCACTCTTTGGCGACTTGTGTGGTCACCTTGATCAAAAGTAGTGTACCAAAGGTTTTTTTCATTTCCAACTTTCTTTAACCTCCTCCTTCCCATATAGCAGTTAGAATTCCAAATGACAGTTAAGAGTGAACAAGTTTGTGATGTAAAACTTCCAGCTCTTGCCTGGTGGTTTTATTCTAGAGGAAAAGGTTGACCTTATTGAAGGAGAAACAGGTAATGTTGCCATGTTGTTGTTTCTTTAGGTATAGGAAGAACAAAGGGCAGAGGCCTTGGGTGTGGGAATGTGCTTAAACACTTAGGAAAGGGTAGATGGCTGTGTGCAGGTTTGCTGATATTAGCCTAGGGAAGACAGGAAAGCTCCACCTGTCACCGTGCCCGGGTGTGCTTGCTGGCGTGATAGCCGAGCAGCAGTATGCCTTTCTTCTTCTCCAGCAGGGAACTTCTTGTTTGCCTGATACCTCTTCATGATCATACTGAATTGTGGAAGATTGAGGTTTATCACCTTGGAGGAAGTAATAGGATTGGGTTAGGTTGGTAAAGTGTGTTGTAAAGTGAAGATGTTGGTCCGTATCTGAGGTGAAGTACCAGGGCACTTAACGATATGACTTCATTAGTGAATTAAGTTCATTGAGCATGTTTAGTTGAGTGTACAGTAGGTATTTACTTGTGTGCTGAGGCTCTAGGGGTGAATGGGCTTGATTCTTGATTTGAGAATATGACTGATGTGCTGTGTATAGAAGAAAGGTGTGGTGAGTTAAATTATTGAACTGTGTCAAGGTTTTATTTGAAGCGTGGAAAGTAACACAGGACAGTTTAGCTAAGAATTTGCTGAACATTGAAAGGCAGTTCAGCCGAGAGAAGACTTTCCAGTAGCTCGGTGGTGTGCAACAGAGTTGCACATACTGAGACACTTGAGTGCAAAGAATAGGATGGGGGTTAGAGAAAGACTCCCGAGGGCCTTATCAGGAAAAGCTTTGCTCATCGTATAAGGTGTGTGAACCGGATGTCACCCTGAAGAGCATTGCTAGGATGGACACACATTTACTCTACATGTGAGAGAAGTCACAGTGGTAGATGGGAGGTGTCTGCTGTTTGGAGTCAGAAAAGCAATAGGGTTGAGTAAGCCTAGGACTACTAAATAATTAAAGGCACAGGTAAGCTGGTCTTCATAGTGTAGTCTCTTTTGTAAGGTGGGACTCATTTAAACAAATGTGGATTAGAAACTGTTTTCATGAATTTTAAGTTTATAAAAAGCAACTTCTATAAGAATTGTTTCTATACTATCAGATTTTTGTAATGCACTTTGGGAATTTCCTCTCCTTTTCTGTGATGGGACATTTTTTCCTCATTGGGACACTTTCCCTGTGTTAGTTAACACAGCAGTCCTTATGAAGCACAGACAGAGAATTTAGGGCATTGTGATGTCCTAGACCTATTTGGCCAGAGTACTAACTTACCTGAGTGTCTGAGGACTTGAAGGGAGAAAGCTTTGTTTCTAGACATACAATAGTAACCCGGGAATTTGTGTTTGTGAGCACATGTTGAGGGTCCTAGTACTGAAGGGTCAGGGGCATGGGGTCAGTTTAATGTCATGTTCTTCATGCTTTATAAGGAGATGTGTCTGTGTTACTGCTTCTACAATGCACATGCACTTTTAATATTAATATAGTCTCTGTTTGGGCCTGGTAGCATTTTCATGTTATCTGTGTACACGTTCAGAATCCACCGAACTATAAACAAGATGTATGCAGTTGCATTTGTGTTAAGAGTCTAGGTGTAGGGGAAAACACCTGAAAAAGCGAAAAGGTTTCTGTGGCATTAGCCTTAAAGGCCTAAATGTTTTCTGTTTGAGGAAAGCTTCCCACTGTCCTTTTTAGTGAATAAAATTATCCTAGTTCATTTTGTTAGCAACATGGCCCTCCTTTTGTATATCCTGTATATAGATGCCTCTTTTCTGCTCTTTTAAATAAAAAAAATTATCATTGTGAGCAGTTCTCAAATAAGGACTAAATTATGGAACTATTTAACATCTTAAACTATTTCCACAGAGTATTTTTCTAAACTAATTTTATCTTATGCAGACTTGATAGAATTAAGTATTTTTTGATGTTTTTGTTTTTAGCCTAATAAAGATATTATGGAACAAATGGAAAAATGGTAAGAGTTTAACTTTTCATCCTTTAATGACTCATTCCTAGTAAATTTGTAGTGACAGAATTGTTAGCTGTAATGATCTAATTTCTTAAGGTACTACTTGTATTTTGGGGTAGAAAAGACCATGGATGAGCCAGGTTAATGCTATGTTTGTGGGTGTCATGTGATATTGATTGACTTGTTCAGGCTGTTGTCAGTCATATACATTTTACTTATTGCTGAGGACTTCACCTTAAAACCATGATTGAGATCCTCAGAAATCTTTTCCAGAAGTTCTTAATGAGTGAGGAACAGGGGGGTTGATTTATCTAAACTACTTAGGAATGATACTTACCTTGACCAAATAGTTCTTACATATGTTTTAAATGTATAATTTCAGCATTCAAGAAAAAGATGAAAAGTTAAAGACGGTTGAAGAATTACTGGAAACTGGACTTATTCAGGTGGCCACTAAAGAGGAGGAGCTAAACGTAAAGCATTTTCTAGATTGTTTTTCTTGTGCTTATTCGCAGTATGAAGGGTTTCACTGTAATTGTTTCCCAAAGCTGTGTGTTACATGTCACAAGTTTATAAGCAGTTTCATTTCATTTACATGATATTTCTTTAGAAATTGAAAATGCATAGATGATTGTAGTGTTCATACCTCAGTTGTCACTGCAGTTTAAGGCATGTGTGTTCCTCTTGCACCTGTGTTCAGATTATAATCAGGGATCTCCAGCAGTTGTCTTAAGTCTGTGAGTGGCTTTGGGTGAGAGCAAGTCAAGACCAGCTGCTCCATAACATGGACTCCTGGGAAAGGAAATGACAAGATACATTAAATTTATAACTGCTGTGGCTTAACTGAAAAATGGCACGCTGTGTCTTTGAGGGTATCAACATTTCAGATGAAATGTATATGGTGATAATTAATTGCAAAATGGTTGACTAACTATAAAAGTTATAGGGAAAAGGGTTGAAGAGGCCGAGTGGGCTAGCTTATTTTGAATTAGCTAGTGTTTCAAGAATAAAAAAGATTGTTGTGCTTATATGGTTTTGAAAACAGGCCATAAGAACAGAAAACTCAACCCTGACAAAAGAAGTTCAAGAGTTAAAGGCCAAGCAGAGTGAGCAGGTAATGCATAGTGTATAATGTGTGCATACTGTTGATCCTACACATTTCTCCTTCCAGTAGGCACAGCTGGTGCATGAAATGTAACACTTGTTTCTTTTCCAAGGCTGGATTTTTTTCAGTTAAGTTTTTAATCAATGAATCATTAGTGACTTGAGTAGTAATAGAAGCTGCAATGTATTGAAAACTGTCTACATGCTAGGTAGGCATTCTGTGACCTACTCCAAATAGGATTTCATTCTTCTTTTTCTTTATTTAGTTAAATTTACTTGTTTTATGTGTGTAAGTGTTTTGCTCATATTCATGTCCATGCACTACATTCAGGCAGTGCCCACAGAGCTCAGAAGAGGGCATCAAACTCCATGAGTCTGGAGCTTGAAGATGGTTGTGAGTTGCTATGTGGGTGCTGGATATTGAACCTGGGTCCTCTGAAAGAGTAGCAATTGCTTTCAACTTTCGATCCATCTCTCCAGCCCAACTTTTTTTTTTTTTTTTTTTTAAATTTATTCTTGCCAGGTGTTGGTGGCTTATGCCTTTAATCCCAGCACTCGGGAGGCAGAGGCAGGAGGATCTCTGAGTTCGAGGCCAGCCTGGTCTACAGAGCTAGTTCTAGGACAGGCTCCAAAGCAATACAGAGAAATCCTGCCTCAAAAAAAGTTTATTGTTTTGTTGCTGCTGTGTGTAGGATATTTGATGGAAAACATGTACTGTGGATTGCTTGTAGAGGTCATAGGACAACTTAGGAACTGCTCTCTTCTCCCACATCACCAGACTTGCATGACAAGCATTTTGCCCTGTGAGTCACCATGGTGGCCGTTGTCTTTTTTTTTTTTTTTAAATATAACAATAAAGGGGTTGACCATACATATACATGGAGTCTCTAATAATGGCAAAAAAAGAGGCTACATTGAAATGAGGCAATTTCTTAGGTATAGTTTCTCCCCTGGCTAGAATCACTAATTAAGTAATTAAGCACTTATCTATTGATTATTCTTCTGGGCTGTACTTAGTAGCCTCAAACCTGCTTATTTTCAAAATGTTCCTCATTTTCACCATTATGACATTAAGAAAATCTAGAAATAATTTTAAGTTTGTGTTTTCATTTCAGTTTGTATAATAACAAATTTAGGGATTATATATCTCTTATTTCTGGCTCATTTATAATTTTAAAAATTACTAAATTATGCATTCTATTTCTAGGTTTCTTTCGTGTCTCTAGTTGAAGAACTTAGGAGAGTGTAAGTGATAATATTGTTATAAATTGGTTTGATAATATTGTTATAAATTGGTTTGATAATATTGTTATAAATTGGTCTGTTTCTTTTGACTTATTTTCTTGGTGCTATTAAAAGGAGTTTTATTTATTTGGGAGATTGACATACATTATTACATCTATCCATTCATCTATTTATCTCTTCACTCTATCTCTTCTATCTCATCCATCTATCTATCCATCCATCCATCCATCCATCATCCACCCATCCACCCACCAACCTAGAATTAATGTATATTATTCCTCCCCATTTCTCCCTATTCTCACTCCTCCTCATCCTCTCTCCCTTTCTAACCCAGTCTGGCCAGGGTTTCCTTACATACTTGGGACTGGTGTCTTAACTCCTGACGCTCCTCTATCACCTTCCTGAGTACTGAGATAGTGTACACCACCACACCTGGCTCATGAACCTTCATTCTAGAATTTCTCATCAGAGGACTAAGTGATATTAGCTGTGCTTCCCAAAGTTAAAGATTTTTATCCTTTTTATAATTGATTCTTTTTTTAATGTGGCATCAATTTTTAATTTTCTGTGTTTAGTAGATGCTATTACAGATGAGTTTATGTTGCAGAGAGAGAGAGTTTCAAGCATGCATTTTCCTTGTGAGATACCTGTCAGCTTTGATGCCATATTGTGTAGTAAGCTCAAACTCCTATAATCCAGTGTCACTGAATGGAAGTCGATTCTCCCTGGTGTTGGTATTCTTCATGGTACAAATAGTAGATTTTCTGTATATTTTTGAAGTATACCAGCAACTTCTCACATGCATAGATTTTAGTAGTTGCTAATTAAATTCTTAGTGAACAGGAGTTTCAGGTTCTTCCTCTGTTTCTTGTCTGTGAAGTTGAGTTACTGTTTGACTTTAAATGAAGGAGTTGGCTTGGAGAGGCTTCTCATGGTGGTGCTGTTTTTATGCTTAGTTGGTGGATCTCAGTGATTTCTAGTCAGGTTAATATTTGATTTGTTTGTTTAAGGATCCATGAGAAAGATGGACAGATCAAGTCTGTGGAAGAGCTTCTAGAAGTTGAACTTCTCAAAGTTGCTAATAAGGAGAAAACTGTTCAGGTAGTAGGAGAGAGAACAGTGTCTGCCTTTCTGTTCATCAACTCAAGTTAATACCATTTGATTTCATGTGTTTGTATGTTGCATTTCTTTGTCAACCTCAGTGTGTTTTCCATTGTCCAATCTTGTCTGTTTTATCATTGTCAAGGCTTTGAAACAGGAAATAGAGGTTCTAAAAGAAGAAATAGGAAATGCCCAGCTTGAAAAGGCTCACCAGGTAAAAATCCCAGAGCCACAGCATGACAGATTTATTAGTGTCTATGTTATTTGTGAGCTACTTTTAAATTTTGTTCCATTTGCTGTTGAGAAAAGTTCTTTAATAGTTTGCTACAAGTATATTTGCTTATATTCCTTTTAAATACCTTTTACTAAGGCCCTCTTCTAGAACAAGTTCTCTGTATTAATATTTCATTTTAGTCAGTTTAAAAAATTCAAAATACTGAACATTCTGGTAAAACAAACTGCATGGACAAAAATGCATTGTTATAGAATTTGTATTCATCCACTGAATGTAGGCCAAAAAAAAAAAAGAGTTTCCCTGAAGATTCTAAAGTAGACATTTTTACTTAGTAGGTGGGTTTTATGAAATTTAATGTGATAAATCTTCATTAAAATGGTGAGAGTGTGTGGAAGAGATGACTCATTCATCCATCATATTATTGCAATAGTTCATCAGAGCCCCAGGCTAGGATTGGAGATTGTGTTTTATTGGAGAAGCTCCTTCTGCAGAACTAACATCTAAATCAAGGTCGGAGAGGGAATCAAATATTAGATTGCTGTGTAACTTACTAGAAAGGAAGCCTAGGGCTGGGAGTACAGTGGGGACAATGCCAGCACAAGGACTGGAATTCAGATCTCCAGCTTTTGTGTAAAAACCAAGCATGGCAGCACACAGCTGTAACCCGACTGAGCACGGCAGGGTGGAGACAGGAGCCACTCAGGTTAGCCAGATCCACACTTCAGGTTCAGCTAAGAGACAGTAGGAGAGTCTAGATTCCCAATGTGACCTCCGGCCTCTGTACATTTGTGTGTGCACATGCAGCACACAGAAAATCATAAATGCCTATAAATAAACATGAAGTGATCTGGAGAATTCTGATACTACATGGTGGTGTGTGGAAAGGTGAAGGAAAACTCGTGTTCTCAACGGTAGCAATACCTCTTTGTGAAGCTATGCTATTTATAACCATCTTCCTTAGTGTGACCCCACCCAATTATTTTGTTACTTTTACTGTCGCTAGAACAAGAGGAGATGAAATGTAAAATACATCTTATTTTGGCATGGAAATTTAGCTTGGGCTTTTATATTTTGAAGTGTACACATTATATAAAGATGTGTAACATAAAGTTTGATAAGATTGAAGAAAGACTTTAAATTGCTTTTTTCTGTCCTTTGTGTTTTAGTTATCTGTTTCTTCTCAAGTTCAGGAACTTCAGAACTTGTAAGTAACATTTGTCTCATTTTCCTATAAATAATCTCTTTCCTGTGAGTTAAATAAAATGAAAATTTTTTTCAAAAGACTTTTTTTGTATTTTTGGTTCTCATATTTTAACCACTACTGATTTTTTTTTTTTTTTGGGGGGGTGGGAAGGAGGTGGTAGTGTGAGAATTCTTTTGATTCATAATCAGAATATGCCTTAAATGGAGACGTTTCTTCTTGCATATTTTAATGGTCATATGAAGCTGGCTGTGTAATTGACACCTAAGCAAGTTTGCTATGCTGTGTGAATTTACTGATGCTGCCTAGATGGGATGACATAGGTTAGGTTAAGAGGAGAGCGACATATTTACTCTGTGTATCCAATGATAGAATGACTTTCTTTAATTATCTTACACTTTTTAACCTGATGTCTCAACTCTTGAATTCCTTTATATTAAAATGGGTTGTAGAAATGCTCATTTCTATAATAGTGGACTTGGATTACAAAAGCACCTGGAGTATTTTTATATAGTCTTCAGTACTGTTGCTTTTTAAGATCATGTAACATTTTTAATTATTCCTCTTAATAACTTGCCAGATTAAGAGGCAAGGAAGAAGAGTTGAAGACCATGAAGGCTGCTTTAGAAGAAAAAGACAAAGACCTGACAGATAGAGGGAAATGGATACAGGTGAGAAGTTTAAAACAGAAGTGAAAACAACCCCCTTTCTGGCATTTGAGTGTTAGTTCACATCTATTCTTTTTAAGGATCTCCAAGAGGAAAACACATCTTTAAAGGCTTCTTTTCAAGAGGCAGCACAGCCTGCTCTGCCTGAGGTAAAATATGAACACCACCGGTTCTGTGTGCCGATCTAGAAAGTCAGGGGTTGTGTCGTGGATTAGTTGCAGCTCTCAGATCGACTTTTGTGACTGTCAAGCCAAGTTTAGCTACCTCATTTCCCACGCTAATAGTATGAACATTTCTTTTTCCTTCCTTTGTCAAATGTACTCCAGGCTTATGCTTATTTGGTAGACTAACCTATAATCCTTTAGAAAAATACTTCTTTTTACCACCTTTCTTTTTGGTTTTTCAAGACAGGGTTTCTCTGAGTATCCCTGGATGTCCTGGAACTCACTCTGTAGACCAGGCAGGCTTCAAACTTAGAGGTCCTCTTGCCTCTGCCTCCCAAGTGCTGGGATTAAAGGTGTGCACCACCACCACTTGGCTTAGAAAATTTTTAAAATGTAAGTCTTATCAGGAAATCTCATTTCTCTAGGCTTGTTGGCTTAGACCTGTGATCCCATCTCTTGGAAGGCAGAAGTAAAAGGATCACTGCTGGCTTAAGACCAGCCTGGGCTACCTAGGGAGCTCCTGTTTAAAAAAACAAAAAAAACCAAAAAAAAAAAAACAAAAACAAAAAAAAAAAAAAAAAAAAGGAAAGGGGAAAAAAAAAGTGTTTTCTTTTTTAAATAAACAACCTAATGTTAAATTTAACACATGATTGTATTTTATTTTATAGCTGGGTGGTTCAGCATGTGTAATGTAACACCTGACTTGCTTTGATGTTAACATTAAAAAGGTTAATCTGTTTCTTAGGCGTGTTCCACACCACAATGTGAAGAACTTGAAAATGTGTAAGTATGCCTTTAGCTAGTATTTTGATGAAGTGTGACAGAATGTGCTGTGGGTCTCTGAAAGGTCACTGATTTCATGATCAAGTTTTAATTATTGTCTAGAAACAGATAAGAGAAATTTCTGCTTGCTGAATGGTAAAGCAGAGACCTTTAAAATGTTTTAGGAACCCTAAAGATTTGCTCATTTTCTCCAATACTCTTTCTGCAAATACAGACTTTTTTCCACAAACAAATCTTATAATTATTCTAAAGAGGAAATAAATTGATTTTCATTTAATCAGGAGGTAATCTTAGCCATAACAGATCATGGGCATATTATAACTGTACTTGCTTATAGGAAACATGGAGTATAACATGAATAATAAAAAAATCTGAGATTGATATTGGGGTTCAAACTGAAGACCAGAGAAGCAAAGCAGCTGACCACTAGCTCTTACCTCTACCTCAGACCAAAATGGGGGATCCTGGCTCCAGGAATGCTCAGAGTGTAATTCAGACTGCACTGCTCTTCACCAAGCCTCAGACTGTTATCCTCTGAGTTCCTGTCTCCTCCTGCCTTAGATTCCTTTCTCTGTCCAGCTATATCACTCCAACACCCTAGTGCTGGAATTAAAGGCGTGTGATCCCAAGTACTGAGATCACCTTTGTGTGAGTTGTTTCTCTTTTAGACTGGATCAGTTTCATGTAGATCCATCTGCCTTTGTCTCCTGGGTCCTGAGATTAAAGGTGTGTGCCACCATCACCTGGCCTCTATGGCTAGCTAGTATTGCTGCTGGGATTAAAGGTGTGTTATCACGACTGCTTTCCTCTTTGGCTGTGGCTTGCTTTGCATTTTGATTCCCAGTGGCTTTATTAGATCATAAACAATATAGCACCACAGTAGAAGTTTGCTTTCTTAGGTGTTTATATGAGAATATTACTTTATTTTTAATCCTGAAAAAGTCATTATTTTTTGAGACAGTCTCACTTTGTTGCCTAGACTGGCTTGAAATGTACTAGGTAGATCAGGCTAGCCTGAAACTTACCATGACCTCCTTTCCCAACTGCTGAGAGTACAGGTATGAGCTACTGTGCCCAGCAAAAGTTGGTTTCTTTTTTCTATTTGGTTGTTTGAGACAGGGTTTCTCTGTGTAGCCCTGGCTATCCTGGAACTCACACTGTAGATCAGGCTGGCCTCAAATCCACAGAGATCTGCTTGCCTTTGCTTCCTGAGTGGCTAGCATTAAAGGCCTTTACCACCACCACTACCTGGCAAAAGTTGGGTTTTTTTTTAAGACTACATCACATATTAAAGAATGAAAATTTGATCGCAAGTTTTTAGAGAATTACTTTAAGCATTTTTTTGTTTGTATATGTGTGGTTGTGTGAGCCATGGTTATGTGTGTTAGGCTACAGGACAATTTGGAGTCAGTTTTTTCCTTCAATCATGTTATTCCTGTGATCCGAATTGAGATTGTCAGGCTTGGTGGCAAGTGTCTTTATCTGCGTGATGGGCTGTTTTGCTGGCCTGAGGAGAGTTACTTTTGAGAGCTTTTTCTTTGACAGGATGTTCATCAGCATTGATTGGTATTTGTTTGTAGACGTGCCCCTCTTTGAACAGTGTCTTTAAGATAATAAAGATTGTAGGTTGTGTTTGTGAACACAAGGGACTTGATTTTTCTGGGCATCATGATTGTGTATGTATTTATAGACTTGTTCACTGAGTAGCTACAAGGGTATTTTCCTCTCATCTGCTAGTGGGAGCTTAGAGACACATATTGATGGCCTCTTGCAGTACATATATAATTACTAAAGTGTATTGTTTTAGGTTTATTTCTATCCTTCATTTTTCTTGTTCAGTCCTGTCATTTTCTTCTTTAAGACAGGCTCTCGCTGTGTAACCTTGACTGTCCTGGGATTCAGAATATCTCCCTGTCTCTGCCTCCTGAGTGCTGGGACTAAAGGTGCACACATTGTACCTGGCTCTTGACCTTGTCTTTGGTAAATAATAGACTTTATTTTGGGTGGCACAAGTTTTAGATCTACAGAAGAGATTGAGAAGTATAGTTTCCGTATCACCACTCTCTCCTCCTGTTACGAACATGTCAACATTGATGCCAATACGTCCATTACCACTGATGAACAAATAGCACTGTGATTATTAACAACCGAACACCACGTTTTCCACTAGGTCTTAGCAAATGTTCAAGAACAATGCATTATCATGGTCTCATGCAGGACAGTTTCCCTCTCCTGAAAGAATCCCTCTTGTCAGCGTTTTCATTCTCTTCCTTCCCCGTTTTCCCTATTCACTCTCCAACCAGTATCACCCTTGACAATCTGGAAAGCACTGACTGTCTTCCTCCGTAGTTTTACCTCTTCTAGAATGTCCTATTTGGAGCCATACACTGTGCATGGCCTTTTTAGATTGACTTCACTTAGGGGTATACATCTAAGACTTGCCCTGTCTTTCCATCCATTGCTCTTTTTCTTTCTCTTGATCACTTTCTTTTTATCCCTCTCCTCTTGTCTTTCTTCCTCCACCCCCCCCCCCTTTTTTTTTCCCCACTCAGGAAGCAAGGTTTCCTTTGTAGCCCATGCTGGTCTTGAACACACAGTAGTCTTTCTACCTTAGCCTCTTGAATGCACTCATGTGCCAATATATCTGGCTTTCTTTCCATCTTGCTCTTTATGCTATTGTGCTACTTTTTAAAGTACCTATAAATATCTTGCCACTTTCTAAATTAAGGAAGGATAAAAATAGTGTTCTGCTTGGCAAATACTTGATGAGTCTTGTATGTCAATAGACACTGGGGATACTGAAATGGGTAAAAATAGGTTATAGCCCTGAGAGAATAGACAAAAACATCAGTTAGTAGTGTTAGGTGTTGAGAGAGCTCTGTTGCTTAGAATGGCAAGGACAGCTGGAATTGGCTTGGGCTAGATTGAAGGCTTGTGTGTGTAAGATAAGTCTTACTGGGTAAAGGTGCTTGCTTCCAATCCTGATTACCTGAATTTTGATTCCTAGGAATCCATTGGTTGAGAGCGAAAACTAACTTCTTCATGCACAGGCACATAAGTCTGTCTCTCTCTCTCTCTCTCTCTCTCTCTCTCTCTCTCTCTCTCTCTCTCTCTCTCTCTCTCTCTCCCTCTCTCCCTCTCTCCCTCTCTCCCTCTCTCCCTCTCTCCCTCCCTCCTGTAAGTTGTTTTCTGACTTTCAGTGTACACCATAGCATTTGTATACCTACTGCCCCTCCCCTACTTTATAAATGTACTAAAAGTTTAAAAAAGTAGAAGAAAAATTGGACAAGGAAATACCAAATCAAATAGTAATACACATATCTTTAACACAATGATTGAGTTTTTTTTTTTTTTTTTTTGGTTTTATTTTTTTTAAACTTCTAGGGTTAATTAATGTATTATTAGTAAGATTTCTAGAAGCATAATTCCTTTTTTAAGTAGTATTTTTATAGTAAGTAGCTGGAATGCTGTTTTGCATTTAGCATTTATTTTAGCGTTTCTTCTTGTGTATTTTCATATTTTCTCCATATTTACTTAAGTATTGGAATAAAATGTGGTGTTTTAGATTGTCCTTGACTAGGAAGTAGGGTGATCTTGGAAAACAAATGGTAAGTAGATAGAATACAGAAAGAAATGGCTGGTAGGCATTGTTTGTGTTGTCTTTTTTTCATAGGGGGTGATAGCAGAGTCTGTTTTTTCTTCTCCATGTACATTATTCAAATAAGATCTTTGTAAAAATTCTAGGTTGAAAGAAAAGGAAAATGAAATTAGGAGAATAGAAGCCATATTAAAAGTCACAGAGAGTGATCTTTCCAACAAATCAAAATTGTTACAGGTAAGTGAGTACTTAAAATTAATTTTTGGATGAGTTACTGTTTTTGGTTGTTCTGATTGTTGGATGGTTCTGTCTTGTGAAAGTGCTTGGTTAAGTTCCAGTGTTAGGACTTTCCATAGAAGTGCCTTTCTTGACTCTTTAACAGTTTGTTTTGTGTTGATCAAATCCAGGAAATCCAAGGCCTTGTACATGCAAGACAAATGCTTTACCTACACTTACCTACATTACTAGCTTTTGGTTTTTAAAGGACAGTTCATCCTGGCCTTGAACTTGCTATGAAACCCATGTTAGCTTCTAACTTGGGTGCCTCTGAGCTGGAGTGTTAGAATTAAAGGTGTGAGTCAGCTGCTCAACTGCCTTCACCTTTAATGAGATTGTTTATTATACTGTATAAGCAGTCCCAGCTGATAAAGATACCTAGGGTATTTGGGTTGTTCTCCAGTTACAAACTATACTTCAGTGGCTATTGTTGCACGCATATTTTGAATACTATTTGTCTAATACTTTTCTAGAAGTAGAATTTTGTGGTGATTGTTTAAACAAGTTTGCTTTGTTTTCAGAGAGATTCCTAGTTTAAAGAGAAGGTCATTTCTCACCTTTTGTGAGTTACTATTCAAAGTAGCTGCAGGCCTGAAGGGGAGCAGGGTTGTAACTGGCATGCAGTGCCTCGAAGTAGCCTGGCTCATGTTTCCTTCGTTAGAGCAAGCTGTTCTTCTGTTACACTCACTTATCATGTTAGTTCCCTTCATGCCCAACACTGGCAGAGGGTGTAGACATGATGTCATGGGTTGTCATACATGTAAAGGACCATTTTCAATTGCTTTAGACTGAAGGAAGTTGAGAGTTCTTAATAACTCTTTTAATTTTGTTCCACAGTTGTTCTTCTGGGATGACTTAAAAATTTTTTTTTAGTATCTTTTTACATAACATGGAAAATGAATGTTTTGTTATTATGTGAGGTTTGACTTCCTTTGACTCCCATCACCTCTTCCAAAAATTGAGTGTTTATCCATTCAAATATAAGCAGTTTCGTAAATGACAAGGAAAAAAGCACTCTCATGTGATTAAAAGGAAACTTGTGTGTTTCTTTTTAATAAGTGTAATTTTATTTATATTTTTTTTAGTTCATATGTAATTTTCTAATCATAGGAAAGGAAGTTATCTGTGGCAGTCAATCGCCCCTCACTACTACAGAGGCCCTGCTTACCAAGGTTATTATTTTAACAATAGGAACAGATGTCTCAGGTTGTCCTGCACCTGTCCAGAGCCTGCTCATAGTACTAGATGACAGAGTAGCTAGGTGACACAAATGCTGCAGTGTGAAGCTGGAGAAACCTTGCCCTGCCAGATGCATGTCACCCTACACTAGATTCTTAAAGGTGTGGGTCGGTTCATTCTAATGAAACAGAAGACTAGAACTAAATACGATTACTGTAGCATCTTTTAATGTGGCCTTTTCCATTTTTTAAAAATTGTTACTATTTTGAAATTTTCTTAGACTGTAAGACATTTTAAAATCTTACATAGAAAATTCATAATCTCTGCCTAGGTATTCATGTTTAATTTTTGTTTATAGGAGATACAAGATGAAAATAAATTATTTAAATCTCAAATTGAACGGCTTAATCAGCAGAACCACCAACAGGTAAGCATTATTCCGTGTCTCACCTTTTACTGTATTGCTAGCTATTTATAATTATTCTTATCATTTTTACATGTTCATGGAAAGTAAAATGATATTTTTTATGTTTCAAATTTCCTATGAAAACAATTTACTGTGCTATGTCTAACTAAAATAAAGTATAACTTAGAGAATATGTTCGGTCAAGTAATGTTACTATCAGTTTTCCAGCTTGATTATATACATATACATGTATGTGTGTGCTCTGATCAATGTCCTAACTCTACTGTATATGCACATGTGTGGGCGTGTGCTTTGCTCAGTGTTCCAGCTCTATGAATACATATGTGTGTATGTGTATTCTGATCAGCGTTCCAGTTCTATTGTATACACATGTGCTGTGATCAATGTTCTACTCCATTATAATATACACCTGTGTATTTATGCTCTGATCAGTGTTCCAGCTCTATTATATACACGTGTGTGTGCTGTGATTAGTGGTCTAGCTCTACTGTGTGTGTGTGTGTGTGTGCATGTGTGCTCTGATTATTGTTCTAGCTCCATTATGATATATACAAGCGTGCATGCATGCTCTGATCAGTGGTCCAGCTCTGTTATATACTTAAATGTGTGTGCAAGTGTGCTCTAATCAATGTTCCAGCTATATTATAATATACACATGTATATATGCCCTGACCAGTTACAGCTCTATTTTATATGTATGTCTGTATCTGCTCCGATAAGTGGTCCTGTTCCATTATAATATACATGTATGCATGTGTACTTAGTCGTTGTTCAGCTCTGTTATACATGTGTGTGCTCTGATCAGTCTTCCAGCCCTTATTATATACACACATATGCTTATGTGCCTGCAAATGCCTCCATCTTACAGAGTGCTTTTCTTAGGAAGTCAGCTAATGTCTTGGCAGAGGTCTGTTTAAATCTAAGTGCATACCTGTCTTCTCTCCTTAAACAAAATATCAATAATTGGAAAGAAACTACAGAAATGTAAGATAGATGTTATAAGTAATGGGCTAGCATTAATATGCTCTTTAGTATATATTTCTGATTGGTAAAAATAAGCATAAGGTATTTAAGAAGATATGTATGTGGGACCTTGTGCATGTTGGACAAATGCACTACCACTGAGCCAAGTCCTAAGCTCTACCAAATATGTGTTATCAATTATTTTATGAACATGTATGGGTAGGTCAGCATGCATTTTGAGAGATAATTAAGAGTCCCTGTTGACAAACAACTTCTGGTAGTTAAGTTTGAGAAGACTAATCATTATATCCTATATCCTATATGTAAAAGGGGTATACCTTTGCATATTATATAAAATCACTTTTTTTATTGTATGTGAAAAAATCAGCATGATTGTTTTTGTTGTTGTTGATGAAGATTTTATTTAGAGAGTTTTAGGAGCTAATATGAAAAGTACTTCAGTGCTATATACAAGGTAAACTCTTTATAGAGTGATAATGAAAATTGGACTTATCACTCAGTATACCTTACAAATTTGCATATGTTTTTATTAAAACCACTTGATTGAAATGCTGGCATAATGCAGTATATGATATTTTTCACTTTTGTGTTATTTATCTTCAATTTTGTTATGTTCTAGAAAGCTTTATTTTGAACTAATATTTAACTCTTTTAATAGGCATCTTTTCCCTCTCAGGAAGAATTACAAACAGTGTAAGTAATGCATTATTCAAAGTTTGGTGTGTTATAAAGTTAAGTGCTGACTTACCCTGGGACATGTAATTTCATGTAATTTCAAATGAATGTTCAAATTTAATGTTGTCTTTGAATGTTCTGGGCTGCAGGCCAATGAGCATTTGTTCTTCTGCCGCCTAAAGCACCTTTTGGGGCATGTCTCTCCCTTCCAGTATTTTGTTCGGCGAGATGTTTGGACTTCTTTTCTTACTCTTGTCTTCTATAGACATTCAGAGAACTCAGATGGAGCGGCGCTGCACTCTGGAGGTCTCCTCAGGCCAGTGCAGCCCTTAGCTCCTCGCTTGCTCTTTCTCTCTGGACCCACGGTGCAGACCTTGGTTCTGCTACTGCAATTTTATGAAACTTAGAGTTGTAACAGTTCTCTTTGAAAGATTTTGTTTTTGTAAAGAAACTTTTTTTTTTTTTCTTGTTGGCCTTTGATTTCTCTAAGAGGCTACTAATTGAAAATCATTTCTGGTTGCAGTGTGTTTCAAAATGCTAAATTTCAACTGTATTAAGTATATCAATAGATGGTAATAGTCTAAATGTTCTCCCATCTTGGCTTATTTGCAGAATTGGCCATTTAGCAGGCTAAGGTTATTAGTTTTAATTGAGTCCTGAATTCAACTGTATGGAGGAAATAGTCTGCAGTGAGCTGACAGTATTTTAGGCTTCAGGGACAGCCATTTCAGCTTCATGTTGTTGCTGTTTTGTGTACACTTGGGTTTTATTTTATTTCTGTTTACATGTATGTGTGCTTGCCTGCTTGTCTGTGTGTGCACCATGTGCACACAGTGCACATGCAGGTCGAAAGAGGACACTGGATTCCCTGAAACTGGAGTTTGTGTGGTCTGATGTTGGTGCTAGAAACTGAAGCTGTGTCCTCAGCAAGAGCAGGAAGTGCTCTTAACCACTGAGCTATCACTCTAGCCCCCATTTTAATTTTGTACATGTTTTTAAACTGTAGAAGCAGGACACTAACACAGTGGTGCACACCTGTGATCCTAGCTTTGGCATGATGAGGCAGGTGGATTACTTGAACTGAGTGTTGGTTGGACAAACTTTGTCAGCATAGTTAGATTTTTTTTTTTTTTTAAAACAATCTTTTAATTTTACATACCAATCCCAGTCCTGTTCCCCTCCCTCCCACACCCCCCTTCACCGCCCCCCCCCCAAATCCACTTCTCAGAGAGGCTGAGGCCTCTCATGGGAAGTCAGCAAAGTCATCACATCATGTTGAGGCAGGACCAAGGCCCTCCCTCTGTATCTAGGCTGGGCAAGGTATCCCTCCATTAGGTAACCCCCCCCCCCCCCCCCCCAAAAAAAAAAAAAAAAAAAAACCACCTGCAAACCTAAATCAGTAGTATTGACAAGTTAATCAGACTTGTTACTGTGGCCAAGATGCTTGATAGTCTTAGCTCTACTAATGCTAGGCTTTAATATGGAGAACAGGGTATTAGGAACCCTACCTCAGAGGGTCTGGGCTGGGAATAAGAGACTTTTCGATGACTACTGCTCATGATATACTTTTCCCTATGAGTCCTGTCAGACCCTTTCAAAATAGCACCACCGGGTGGGGCCAAACTCCCATCACAGGCTTCTTACTGAGGAAGTACTTCATGTCCAAAGAATAACAAACAGCTTTTAAGCTCGAAGTCCAGATGGTTGTTGGGCAGCCCTTTAATCTTAAAGCTGTTTGTGCTGGACATGCTCACGTGTAACACAATGAATTTTGAAATTATGCCTTTTGCTTTCTGCATTTCTGGGAAATAACTAAGCCATTGGATAGGACCAGGAGAAAAAAAAAACAAACAAAAATCAAAACCATGACTACTAAGATTGGGTAAAAATAGCAATAAAATACCAGGTTACTTTAATATAATGTTAGTTTAATTAGTCAATTAGTCATAATTAATTTCATTGCCTTAAAATAAAATGCTTTTAAAGATTGCCTTTGTGTCAGACTTACCCCCAGATCCCATTTAGATGGTTCTATAACTCAGGCTGGCTTTCAGCTCATTGTATAGTGAGGGTAACCCTTGAACTTCTGGTCTTTCTGGCTCTGCTACCCACGTGTTGGTATATTGCAGGCACTGTGCAGTCACACATGTAGGGCTCATATACGGGGGATTGAAACCAGGGCCTTTTGCTTCCTAGGTGCAAGCATTACCAACTGGGGAGCTACTCTAGCCCCAAAAAGCATTTTTGAAATTAAGAATTCATAGGATGAGTTCTTTAAACAGTGGCTGATCTATAAATACATTTTCATAGTATTAGCTGCTGTTTTTCTTTTGTATTAAAATATTGCAATGTAGCTATCTGAATGCTATTATTATTTAATATGTAAGTTATATTATTGTTTATTTTAGATGCTCTTTACCTAAAATATATCCACATTCTGATTTAGAATTTCAGAAAAAGAAAAAGAATTAACTGATCTTCATAATGAGTTAGATTCTTTGAAGAATGCTGTTGAACATCAGAGGAAGAAAAACAATGTAAGTCACTATTCATGAAAAACAGACTTTTCCATTATAGAGTGTTAGTGTTGAAACATGGGCAGGGATTTTTTTTTTTTTTTTCCTTTACATCTATTTTTGCTTTAGAGTACTTGATCTGTGTGTGAGAGCACTTTTGATTTCTCCCTGTCTTTGGGGATGTTACTAGGATACTCATTTTATTTAAAAGCAATTTTAATTATAAAAAGATGAATTTTTATACCCCCCCCAAAAAATACCAGTATGGAGCTTTTTCCAAAAAATAAAACAAAACAAAAATGTGGTTGACTTTGTGTAAAGGTCTTTGTTTAGAGCAATAAGCCTTTCAGACTTGTTATTTTAATAACAAGGGCATTTCCTTTTACTTAACAAGGCTAAGTTTTTGTTGTTATGTTTGTAGTTTTTTTTCTTCTGATAAACTAAAAATATATGTTTCAAACTGCTCTTTTTTCGAGGGAGAGGCAGTAAAAAAACATTGGTAATTAAGTTTGCTAGTGAGTGATCTTAGAACTGAATATATGTATACTAAAATGGGAATGACTAGTTCTTAGTACCTTTACCAAGCAAACAAATAGTAGATGCAGCTGAATTTCTTAAGTTCCCTCTTACCAAAAGGTAGTAACTAGTAGCCTTAAGTATTCTTGCTAGAGAAGTGGTTTTTTTTTTTTTTTTTTACACAAAAGTATGCTTGCTAATATGAGCAAGATCAAAATGTTATTAAATGATAATAGAATATTGATAATAAATGTGTATATTCCAATGTGTTAAATCTCTCAAAGTTTGTGTTAAATTGCTAACTAACAAGTTGGCATTTTCTTGTACCCTGAGTTTGTCAAAATTAGGTATGTGTTCTGCTCTTTGTGTGTTATTTAATATTAATTATTAACAGCATTACTTAGCCACAAAATTTGGCATGAATGTTCCAGTATCTCTCTTAACATTGTAACTGTTTTTCATTGCTGGGGTTCTGAGATAAGGAGGACATAGTAATGGAGTTTAATTCATTCACCATTGCAGCAGCAGCGGTACTGCAGATCTTAATTTCAAGCCTGTGAGAAGAGCCAGGGTGGTGGAGGCCAGCAGGGTGCAGTGGCAGCCCACTCTAGTTCTGTCACTCATTTGTTCCACACATTTGGCCAGATTTCTTAACTTTCAGTGGTGGTTTCCCATCTATAAAGTGGGAATAAAACTTATAAATTGTTGTAAGGATTAATGAGAATTTGTGGATTGCTAAATACAGTATTTGACGTCTAAACTTGAAACAAATGGTAATCACTAGATTTTAACTTTTATGTTTATTCCTAATTATGAACATGAAATATAGCATATTGTTTTTATTTTTATTTGCTATGGAAATGCTTGCTTTTAAATGCCCTCTGTTTCTCCTTAATGGAATGTGTTTTGTCATTTTCTCTGCCTCATTTACTTAAGTCACCTGGTTAGTACAGTTGTCTGACTGTTTGTGGTGTCCATGGCCAACCATGCCACAATACAGAACACAGAGGGTTACTTTGCCATGCCTAGGAAGACTGGAAATGTACTAATTATATTTAAAGTAGAGTTAGAGGGAAAAAAAAACTGTTACGTGGCAGTATAAATTCCTGTGAGGGTGATGTTGGGCATCATTTAAAATCACAGGAGCAGTACTGTCCATTTGCTCTGTTCTTAGCTGTAACACTTAACATTGAAGTCATAACTAATTCTGGTTGGCATGTTTACCTTCAGATGCTCTCTTTGTCACATTCACACAGTCAGTTGTTTGTAAAAATTGGCATATTAGGAGTACATGCTAAAACATGAAAAGTGGGCGTCTTTATTTTCTCATTCAAACTTCTAAACATTATTATTATTATTTTTAACTAATATACACATTTTCCCATTGAAATAATTTTGCAGTAACCAGCATTTAAATGCAGTGCAATCTATTGATGAAGTTAAAGGAGAAATCTTGTAATAATGGATAAACTGAAACCATTCTTTCTAAAAATGATTAGGACCTTCGGGAGAAAAACTGGGCAGCAATGGAAGCATTGGCATCAACTGAAAAAGTGCTGCGGGACAAAGTGAACAAGACCTCCAAGGTTGTAATGACTCCCATTCAGAGACACCCATGCACAGAAAGTCTGCAGCGCACAGGCATCAGCCCTAAGCACTCCCCCACTGCAGCTTACATACAGTGTCCCCTGTCAGCCACATTTGTCATCTCCATCGTCTCTGCTTTCTCGTCTGACTAGTCATTGACACTTCACTTTTGGGCACTCTGGTTGTCCAGGCAAGCTTGTTGGTGTTTTGATTAGCACAGCTGTAAGCAGGGAAGCCCAGACTCAGTGGTCTGTGTGCAGGTCCTCCTTCGTCAGATGGTGTGTGCCAGTGGTGCAGTTAGGAGAACCTCAGTGTGTCCCCAAATGAGAGGTCTCTGTGAACTAATGAAGGAGATTTCAGAACCTAGCACCTTTCTGTGATGCATAGGAAAGTGGGGTTTCTGAAACATACCAGGAGGATTCAGGCAAGGTAGGAAAATAGCAACATCTTAAATAGTACAGAAAATTTTCAGTTCTGAGTCTGCTACTGGGGATGATTCCTGAGAAGAAAGAGAGGCTTAAACTGTCTATTTTGAAGTGGCTGGACAGTTGTGGCATAAGTGTCCTGTGAAGTATAGAATATTAGTATGCATGGAGAATTCTCTTGATGAGTATATATCTTCAAAACAACAAAGCACGTTCTTCTTGAGCCCCATCTGTCCATTAGGGAGAATGGGCATAATGGAGGAGTAATAGAAAGTGGGACAACTGAGTGTGAATGAAACATTAATATTGGATTTTGAAGCCAGGTTAATGAATGCCCTGTGTGATTAATTTCCACATTCCGAAGGTGTTTGTGTGTCAAGGTAATCTAGTGCATTTTAATGACAAAGTCTTAAGGATATTTGAAACAGTTTCTTAGTAGATTACAATGTTACAATTTGTTCATTTTATGTTTATAGTTTTATGTCCTTTAGTGCAGTAGATGTATAGTTACTGTGCTTCTTAACCTGATGAATTTTTTCATTAAGCTTTAAGTTGAGACAGTTGGCAGCTATTACTGCCAGAGGAATTTAAGCTAGAGACCTAGGCTCTAGCCACACAGATACTGTTTAACTGTGAATGGTTTCTGTTGTGCAGTCACCTGTCACAAGGCGGACTTCCAGTATGAGCTTTCCACTATTTAGAGCTGATGTGTTGTTCTTCATGCCTCTCCTGCACAAGGCATTGCTGCACCCTCTAATGCACAAAGGGAGCTCCAGTGTGTGCATGATGTCTTGATAGCTTGGAATTTACAGGGAAAAGATGGACTCCCATCTTCCCTTAACATCGTGGGTGTAAAGTGATGTTGATATGTTGATTTACTAAGTGCCATAGATTGTGATGTGACTACACAAAGCACCCTTACTGGTTTTAGATGCTAGAAATAAAGTCAAAGGCTAGCATACTGTTCTTAGATGTTTATTTACTTTTTTTGAAGCAGGGTTTCTTTGTGTAGCCCTGGCTATAGATGTTTTGCTTTTATTAACCAGATTTTTCTTTTCCTTTTTTTGTGATTGGTTTCAGTATTTAGTCCATGCTGCCCTGACATTAGCAATCCCCCTGCTTCAGCTTCCTGAGTCTAAGGATTACATACTCCACCATGCCAGATTTTGGACTTTTATTTAGTTATTTTCTTTTGAGACAGGGTGTCAGTACATAGTAACCTTGGTTGGCCTGAAACTAGCTAATTAGACCAGGATAGCCTAAAAATTTTGGAGATCTCCCCATCTCAGCCTCTGTCTCTACTGGATAAGGGGGTGAGCCACCACACCTGGCCTGGAGTTACTTTAAAGTATTAAATGCTTGTTAGAAACTGCAAATGAAAGACTTACATAAAGGTGCTTTGTATATTATAACCAATGGAGGACTAAGGAAATAATTCAGTTTCTAGAATTAGATCTTTTTCAAGCTATGACTGGAAATTGCTATTTACCACCAAAGTCATATCAAATGAAAACTTTAACACATTCTCTGTAAAGTAGTTTGCTTAGTGGCTGTTGATTACAAGCTGTTTTCCTTCCCTCTGTGGTTTCAGGATACATCTATCCCACATTATCTGTATAGTCAAACGAGAACAGTTACCTTGACTATCTCTGCTTCCTTCAATTGGTATTGCATATACCCTACTTTGAGCAGCTAGGTATATATGTATAAGTTTGTGTGCTTTACTAAATTTTTGAAAATACTTGGTAAAATAGCTATTCTAAAATATTGCCACTAATCTTTAATAATTTAGCACCTTTTAGTGTGCATAGAATATGAAATTTCTAGCTTCTGTTGTATAAATTTAGACTTTCACATGATTAACGTTTTCTCAAATTGAAGTGTGTGTGTTTCTTAAGTCAGAGATGGATTTCAGAGAGCTGAGTGATGGTTGAGGTGATGCTCACCACCCTCTCGTCATTTGTTGGACCCCCAGTAGCATGTGGAATGACTTTGGGTTTGGGTGTACATTTTTATAGTATCTTTTTTGTTTTTAAATCTTGTAGAAATCATTTGAACATTAGATTTGAGGTGATATGTGTATGTAATCAAATTGTTTCCCTAATTTTGACAAACCATGGCCCTGAGTTTACAATTGGAGTTGGAGTTAGAAATCAACAAATGTAGATTAAACATTAGTAATAGTTGGGATTTACAGCCCACTGTGTATCAGAAGTATCCTTATTGATGATTGGCATCAGGGATATAGTCAGCCCCCTTTCCTCCCCTCCCCCATTTCTACTTCCCATCACAATGTCTTTGTCCCTTTTGTTTTGTGTCACTGCCTTTTTTTTGGTGTGTGTGTGTGTGTGTGTGTGTGTGTGTGTGTGTGTGTGTGAGAGAGAGAGAGAGAGAGAGAGAGAGAGAGAGAGAGAGAGAGAGAAACTTTACTGAACACTAAGCCTCATTTATTCCACTCAGATGCATGTTTCTTGGTAAGGTTGTCTGTGAGGTTTTATTGATAGGAAGGGATGTGTGTTTGAAGTGTTCCTGGAGAGGCAAATCACTTTATTTCTAATGCCAAAGAAAACCCATATTGTCAGTCACTGCTTTGTCTTGATTATTTGCTATTTAGGATGCTGTAGAGATTCTGTAGATTTTATCTTTAAGGAAATATGTTTTCATGCCTTAAAGTGAGAAAAATATTTTTCAATATTAAAATAAATTGACTTTTTTCTCCATTTGAGCTTCAAATGTCATAGCTTTTTTTTTTTTTTTTTTTTTTCAAAATTGTATAACCATGTAAGTTTGATCTGGTATGTCTTTTGCTTTAGGAAAGACAACAACATGTGGAAGCTGTTGAGTTAGAGGCCAAAGAACTTCTCAAAAGATTATTTCCAATGGTGTCTGTTCCTTCTAATTTGGTAAGATGAATCTGTTGCTTTTCAACATTTAACCTGAAATTATATAGAAAGTTGTGATAACAGCATTTGGTTTTTGAATTTGATTTGTTAGCATGCTAAGCTCCCCAATGTCTCTGTGACTTAACAAGGCAGGTATGCTTCTGAGTTCAAAGCTCATCTTTCAGTACCTGGAACTTTTGTTGTATTCTATGAAATTGATTGGCTTGTAGATGTGTTTGGAAAAGAGCTTATTCTAAATGGATAATAAAGCCAATAATAATTTAAGTGATTACATCTTTATTTTAACAACAGTTCTTTAATGTATTCCATGATACGAACTAGGGTCTTTTACATTTTAAAACCATGATTTTCATCTATTCACCCCAGGAAATGAGGTTGAGTGTGGTTCTAGTAGAATAGGAAAGTGACCAGCTCAGACAGTAGCTAGTATTTGAGGGTAGAGAAGACCAGGGAATGTCCCTAAAGTTGTTAAAATGGTGAGCTAGGCCTTCTTACATTTGTAATAAAAAAGTGTATGTATACTCAAAAGTAGGTGATGGAATGATGATCACCCACTTTGGGAACTACCTTGCATGCTTTTGTTAATATGTATAAATGACTTTATACTTCCCATCCCATTATCAGTGGTTTTCAACCTTCCTAATGCTATGACACCCTTTAATACAATTTCTCATGTGTGGTGGTGATACTCAACCATAAAATTATTACTACTTTGTAATAATTATATAATTTTGCTATTGTTATGAATTGTAAATATTTTTGGAGATAAAGTGTAGTGATAACAAAGTTTTCCTGAAGATTGGAGTGCAGAGCTAAACCTCTAGTTAGCCACACAGCTAAGCCACTAGTTAGCCATGGAGGACAGGCAGCGGTGGGGAGACAGGCAGATGGATCTCTGAGTTCAAGTCCACCCTGGGCTACATGAGATTGAATCAGTCTAAAAAGGAAATGCTTTCCTTTAATCCCAGCACAAGGGAGGTGGAGACCAGAGTGATAATGGCTGGGCAGAGAAGGGGAATATAGACAGGAGGAGACAGGAACTCACTGACGTCTAGGCAATCTGAGGAGCAGTGCAGTTTGGAGATGCAATCAGAGGACATGATGTCTCGTTTGGTCTGAGCATTGGTAAAGGTGAGAACTCTCTAGTGGCTGGCCGCCTGGCTTCTCTGATCTTCAGCTTTAGCCCCAGTCTTTGTCCCTGGGTTTTATCATTCATGCTACAATAAACATTTGGCTTAGGGATTGTGACCCACAGGTTGAGAACCTCTGTGTTAGATTAGGCAGAAGGAACTCAAGCATCAGGGCATTTTATCTGCAAATATTTTAGCACATAGCCTAAGAGATGACTATTATTTTAAAAAATTCATCTTTAATTTCACATATTTAGTCATTCCCCTAATTTTCATACACAGTGCTCATGCCAACTAAGTAATAAGGTATTTTATAATTAGAACCCAAATAAAATCTACATATGATTGGTGTTTTCAGTCTCCTGGTTCCCTGCAAGTGTGTTGCATTCCACTCCCCCACCCCCATTTTAAGTGTAGAAGTGTCTTGTTGCAGTTTCTGATAGTTTGGATTTAGCTGAATGCATTCCTAGTGCTGTGTGTTCCTTTGTCCTTTGTATAACTCGTAAATTGGTACCCATTAGAGGATTATCTGATTCAGGGCCAGTGTTTCAAGGTAGGTAGTGGTAGGTACTGTAAGTTCTGCTTACCTGGTTCAGTGGAGCTTCCTTAGGCTGTCTGTGATGACTTTGGTAACTGTTGTGCTGGGTGCTATAGGATGTTCCTTATTTATTGGATACAGTTAAAAATTCAAGCATGGAATGGCCCCTTCTCTTAGGTGTAGGGGCAGTGTCTGGGTATGTTGTATGAGTAGTAGAAGGTTAGCTGCCTTCTTTCTTTAGGTTATATGTACATGCATACTACTGTTAGTTTAAGTATGGAGGGAAGGAAGATTGCTGTTTCCTCTAGCTGTGTGGAGGGTACAAAGACTTGAATAGCAGATGTCATTACCCCCTGAACTGAAGAAATGTTTTGTGTTATTAGACAGAGGAATGACCTAGGGGAAGGGACTGTTAATACATTCCATATCCCTTTCTTTTGTGGCCATAATCTGGTTTTGTTTCTACTTTTTGTTTTATTGGTAGATTTACTGATTTGACAATATTTCATGAACCAAGAAGCAGTTTTTGTTCTTCAAAGATTGTGAAAAATTACCAGCAATCAGAGCTTTTCCCTTTTTTTCTAATTAAAAAATATTTATGTGCATTGGTGTTTTGCCTGCATGGATATCTCTTTGAGGGTGTTGGGTACCCTGGAACTAGAGTTAGAGACAGCTGTGAGCTGCATGTGGGAAGTGAACCCAGGTCTTCTGGTAAAACAGCCAGTGTTCTTAATTTCTGAGCCATCTCTCCAGCTCCCTAAATTTTTCTTTTAATGTTAACAGAATTATTGATTATTTTGTTATTACTTGCTTGTTTATTTGGTGATATGTCTTGCCATGTAGCTCAGGCTGGTCTTGAATTCCTGACTTTTTCTGCCTTCAAAATGTGGCATTACAAGTGTGTGCAACCATGCCTGACCTTCAATAACTAAGTCTTCATGGCTCTGTAAAAGTTTGTAAATCACCATTAGACATGACAGTATTCTTTGTGTTTTGTTCACAATCTTGTTAAAAGTCGAGTATTGCTTCTTGTCTGTATTTTAAAATATATATTAACCTTTTCATGTGCTAGTTAAGAGATTAGTATTCTAGGGTTTTTTTTGTTTTGTTTTGTTTTTTGTTTTTGTTTTTAGTTTTTTTGAGACAGGGTTTCTCTGTGTAGCTTTGTAGACCAGGCTAGCCTTGAATCACAGAGATCCACCTGCCTCTGCTTCTCCAGTGCTGGGATTAAAGGCTTGTGCCACCACTGCCTGGCAGTATTCTAGGGTTTTAAAAGAATTACTTAGTTTAGCCAAGCATGGTGGCACACACTTTTAATCCCAGGAGGAATAGGTAGGGCATACTGGTCTGTGTAACAGACTAGCCAGGACTGCATACAAGAGGAAAAAGAAAACAGAGTTAGCTTAAGCCTCATTATTAGGTTTAGTTAATGTAACTATTAAACATGAAAGGAGGTTTTGTTTTTCTCGTTATTGCCACTGTGTAAAGCAGATCCAGATAAGAACAGTTTCATCTGGTTTTAATTTACGTTGGATCCCAGTATTTGAACCTAAAGTAGTTTGCTAGTGTGCACTTGTGTGGTTTGAGTTTGTATTGTGAGGATGCTGTTCTTTTAAATGGAGAGAGGCCTTACACTAGTGTGGTACTGAAAGCACTGCAGTGTGGGCCAATCCCAGCACCCATTCACTTTCTTCAGGCGGTACTTGTGGAGTACCCTGTTTGAGCTACAGAAGTATAAAGCTTTGTGTTACAAGAGTTAGGAGACAGTTTATCTATCTTCTTTATCAACTAAACTAAAAAATATGTAACAAGAAACTTGATTTTTAAAATGTTAGACACATTACCACCGTTTAAAATTTTGTTAAGTTTCAAAAATTTATAATTTATTTTAAGGTTCCAGATAATATGTATTGTTTTCTTTTCTTGACCTATAAACAGAAACCAGTTTTGTGTTGGAGTTAAATGAATATGTGTGTATCATCCCCTGTTATGATTTAAACATGCTTATAATACATATTTTGTTTTTTAATTTGAAGTATTTTCAGGAACTTTGGAGTACCTTCAGAGAATTTGAAATCTTCTGAATTGAACTCCTTCAGCTAGACTTTGAAGTTTTAATTCTACTTTTTTTTTTTTTTTAAAGATTTATTTATTCTGTATATAGTGTTCTGCCTGCATGTATGCCTGCACACTAGAAGAGGGCACCAGATCTCATTATAGATGGTTGAGAGCCACCATGTGGTTGCTGGGAATTGAACTCAGGAACTTTGAAAGTGCTCTTAACCTCCCCGCCGTCTCTCCAACCCCAGAATGCTTCTTCGTTTTAACAGTTGTTTTACCTGGAAACGTTTTTGAAAAGCTGCTCATTTTAGGTTTTGAGTTTTACCCGTGCTCAGTGGCTTGTTGTGCATGAGTGCTTCTCGTGGCAATAGAGCATGCGGTCTACTGCCTTTGAGTCCAAAATTCATTTGCAAATAATATGGTATGGATAAAAAGAATTCATTTTGATTGTTAAGGATGTATACATTAAATTGTTTAGTTACTTATTTATTGTTGGCCATGGTGGCATTTGTCTGTAATCCAAGCACTTGGGGGACAAAGGTGGGAGGATCTCTTTGAGTTCAAGGTCAGCCAGGCTACATAGTGAGGCCCTGTTTCAACATTTTATTATTTCTTTCTTTCATTATGATAGTCTCCCTATATAGTAGCCTAGGTTGGCCTGAAACTCACACATGACCCTGTCCTTGAACTCAGTATTTTCCTGTTCACACTTCTTAGGCTATGTAGCTATAGGCATGCAGGTGGTATCATTCAGCTTTTAGTGTTTTTTTTTTTTTTTAATGTTTAATGTTTACTTTTAAAAACTGGATTATGTTCAATCTATGAAAGTTATATTCTCCTCTGAAATTCTAAGTATGTTGACAATGTATGTAGGTTCCATTTAAAATTATGTAATTTGGTGCTTTTAAATGTTTATTTCTTTTAATAATCAGACTTTTTTGGAAATTCATGACTTGGACTTTTCTCTCCTACAGACTTACAGTGAATGGCTACGTGGCTTTGAAAAGAAGGCAAAAGCATGTATCGCTGGAACTTCGGATGCAGAGATGGTCAAGGTTAGTTCAAGAAATGCACTTCTTTTTAAACAGATGGGAGGTGGAGCAATCAGAACTTGTGACAAAAGGGTACATTATTATTTGGGTAGTGAAAAGAATATGGTGCTTTCATTTTTAAAATCAAATGCTTAATTACTTTCAACTCTTTTTAGCTGAAGTTTTCAAAAGTAAAGATCAGCTGAGATATGTGGCCGGTCTCACTGGCTTGCTGCAGCACCCCAGATAACTTTGGCAGCACTCAGAATCCTACTTCCTTCTTACCCTTGGACACAGAGAATGTGCAACCTGTGACTGTTCTGAGCTCTAGGCAGCATGAATAAAATCTCCTTCCTCTTGTGTGGCATATGCAGTGTAGTGTTTATTTATGGGCCATGTGTATAAAGAGTAACATCCTTGGTGTAAATGTGTGATGGACTTAAAAATGTCACAAATAGATATCATGTGATCAAAAGGTCATCAGACTGCATTGCTGCTTAGCAAGGTTGGAATGTAATATTCCATCATCAGTCATTTCTGTTCATTTATTATGTCATCAGATATTTAAAGTCATATAAAGTACAAGCCTCCTACTTGTAATTTTTTTTGGGGGGGGGGTCTGTCATTGCAGGTTTTGGAGCACAGGTTGAAAGAAGCTGATGAAATGCATGCACTGCTACAGATAGAGTGTGAAAAATACAAATCCGTCCTTGCAGAAACAGTAGGAAATTACTTGAATTTACATTTTGATTTTATTTTTAAATCATTGGCTTATTCCTTTCTGGCTTAAGTGATTTTATCTTGACATCAGAATATGAATGTTTCAGATTAATTCTGCCTTTGTCTGCAGGAAGGGATCTTACAGAAGCTGCAGCGCAGTGTGGAGCAGGAAGAAAGTAAATGGAAGATTAAAGCTGACGAGTCACGGAGGACTATTAAGCAGGTATTTAAGGAGGGGCTTCAAGTAGCAGTACTGAGCATGTGGGTGCCATCTGGGAGCCAGTGACACGTCACCTGTGTCTCACATGAATTGAGGGGTAGTGGATTATGTGAAGGAACTCTGGGGTGATTCTGATATTCATCCATTTGGAAACCACTCATCAGAGTGACTGACAGGCAGGGTAGCAGGGACAGTGCTTTAAAAGTGATAGTACCACATATGATAACAAGGTCAAGAACCTCAGATTCAGAATTAGTTTTCAAATATTGCTCTATCCATATCATGTTGTACTCAAGGACAACCTAAGTCATCCTTCTGTTATGTTATTTTTTTCTTGATAATCTTATTTTCCTGCCATTTTCACGAGTGTTGTGAAGAACCACATGGGTTTTTTTGGTGTGTGTGTGTGTGTGTGTGTGTGTGTGTATGTGTGTACGAGCACACGTGCGCAAGCATTAGCTACTGATGTTACCAAAAATTAAGTGTTTCTAACTGACTTAATGAGAATCATACAGACTTGTGGATTCTCAGCATTATTGAAATGAAGTTATATGTGACACTCTTTATTTTTAGGAGCTTTAATTGACAGTTCAGTATGGGTGCATTTTGAAGTCTCTAAGTGGGTTTGGTGAAAGGCTTGCAGGTAAAGGCACCTGCCAAAACCTGGACAACCTGATTCCATCCTCAGGACCCATATAGAGGAAGAGAAATTACTCCTGTAGGTTGTCCTCTGACCTCAGATGCACAGTGGTTTGCATCTGTCCCTCTTGTAAATACAACAAGTCAAAATTTAAAAAGCAAAAGTAAAAAATCTCTCAGCTAGAATTTCTAGCATGCGTCCTGGCCCAGGATAGAGCGGAATGTGATCCAAATGTTTGTAGATGGTGCCAGGTCACAGCTCAGAAGACAGGCACCTGTGTGAGTGAGATGCACCTTTGCGATCCTCTTTCCAGGCTGGGAGCCTGCGTCTCAGTGCTTCTCATTTATTGTCCACATTTCAGATGCAGGCCTCCTTTACATCGTCAGAGCAAGAGCTGGAGCGACTAAGAAGAGACAACCGAGAAATGGAAAATGTATGTTACTTAATAGTTACACTAATAACCCATGAACCCATTTTTAGCATTATGGTTGCCCAGACATCTGCTTTAAGGTTACTTTTGTGTCTAGTGATATAATTATGTTTTTATTATCCTGAGTAGTTTGAGTTAATACACTTTTAAATTCTTAAGGATTCTAACTTCCATTATGGGAAAAACCATGGAAGGAAAATGTAAATGTATTGACTTCTTTTTGTTGTGTTGACAGCTGAGAAGAGAACGAGAACACTTGGAAATGGAGCTAGAGAAGGCAGAGATTGAACGGTCAACTTATGTGACAGAAGTCAGAGAGGTACTTATGACAGAAGTTCTTCAGACTTGCTTTCCAATTCACATTAAGTTGAGGTGGAGTGTTAAAGTGTTTCCTTTTAAGTTGTTTGTAGAAGAGCTTCCGGGTAGCTACCAAGTATGGGTCATCATGGAGATCAATCTTAAACTTTAAACTTCATTGCAGCTGAAAGATCTGTTGACTGAATTGCAGAAAAAACTTGATGACTCATATTCTGAAGCAGTAAGACAGAATGAGGAGCTTAACTTGGTAAGCAGCTTGCCCTCCACTGAGCTTCCAGTCGACTCTGGAGACACATATGCTGGTGTGCCGACTGGACCAGACTTTTCCTGGCTAACACCTTTAGCTTGGCACTTCTGTTGGGTAGAGCTAGTCTTCTTCTGATATCTCCAAAGATGGTTCTTCTTTCTTGGCTCCTAATTATGGCATGTTTGGCTTCCAACTCTATTTCAAAGTTTTCTGCCTTTTACAGCCTAATTTCTTGAACAGTGTTACTTTTTGGTGAATAAAGAAACCAAAGCTTGGAGGAATTGTAAGGATTATTTTCTGGAAGGTTTGTAACCCAGAGGAAGCTGGTTGACGCTTACAGACACATGTTCTTCCTTCAAGGGAATGCCCTAACCAAAATTCTGCACTAGTCTTTCTAAAAGTAAATTTCAGAACTTTTCAAAGTAATTTCCTCTCTGCTTGTTCTTTTGAGACAGGGTCTATTACATAGGCTGATCTCAAACTTCACAGTAGTTCTGTCTCAGTCTTTTAGCTGGGATTACAGATATGAGCCAGTGTTCATTGTCAGTGTACTATCTAACACACAATAACCTGAATGACTGGTCTGACTCATTGACTGACTCCCTTCCTTCTTTTTTCTCTCTCTCCTCTCCAGTCCTTCCTTCCTTATGGTTCTAGGAATCTCCCATCTTTCCTTCTTTGTGGTTCTAGGAATTAAGCCTAGGACATTATTCATAATAGGCAAGCATTATTCTGAATTTTATCTTCAGCTTCCTTTTCCTCTTAATTTTGATAGAGCATTTTGCTAAATTGCCTAAGGTAGCTGTGAGGTTTTTGTTTTCTTTCTTTCTTTCTTTCTTTTTTTTTTTTTTTTTTTTTTTTTTTTCTTGTTTTTCTTTTTTTCTTTTTCATAGCCCAGGCATCTCAGCCTCCCAAGGATTGGAGACTGCACCACTGCGAAGCTAGCTAAATGTTCTAAGACACTCATTTCTGTTTTTGTTTAGGGATTATACTGACTGTTGACTTTCTGAGCTGTTAGATAGGTATAGCTGTCTTGTGCTGTTTTCTAATCATTGTATCTTCCTGTGATTTAAAATATTACATGTTAATTTTTTAAAAAACTTTCTGAGCATACTTTAAGAAGAATATAATAAGTTTCTCCTTACTCCAAATTAATCCTGCTATTGAGAGTCCTTTCATTTAGCACTACACACATAGGAGAACTTACTTATTTTCATTCCTGGTTGCTCTGTTACAGCAGTTATGTTTATTAAATTTGATTTTTTACTTTACTGTTTAAAAATTGTTTTTTGGTTAACATATAATACTGGGTTTCATCATAGCGAATATATATATATATATATATATAATATATATATATTAACCATTCCCTTCCTCCCTACCCTTCCCTGTCTCTCCTTGTTCCCTCTGTCTGGTTGTGTTTGTTCCTAATTAGTGTTTTTGGCTATATAATCCGGGCTAGCCTTGAATCTTCCTGCTTCAGCTTGCATAGTATTGCGATGTATAGGTGTGCACCATGGTGCCCAGAAAGACAGTGCTTTAAGAGAATTAGATTTTAGAGTTGTACGAGGACTAAATACAGAGTACTATGTATACTATGTATGTATATGTACATGAACACACACACAAAGCCCTATTTTAAAAATTCTTGTTGTATTTGCTGATGCTTTGTTTTAATTAGACCCATGTCCAGTGCAATATAAGACACATTTTATGCATGCACTTGCTGTATAGTATACCTGTCAGGCCTGTGGTATGGTTCCTTCTATCAGGAGACCGTTTCAAGGGGCAATTTATTTTTTTCTTTCATGTCTTTAAGACAATGAACAGTTTAATTAACTTTGGTAACAGCAGTGTAAGATCACTCTAGCCTAAACTGCACCAATAAGAAATGCCAAGCGACTACAGAGATGCTTAGTGGCTAGAGTGATCTGGCCGCTCTTCCCATTTCCAGTATCTACACAGCAGCTCACAGTCATTCATAACTCCAGTCCAGGGGGTCTGATTCCATCTTCTGGGCTTGGTGGGCACCACGCATACATGTTTTGCAGACATACAAGCGGGCAAAACAGTCATAGACAAAAATTAAATTGTTTTTTAAAGAGTTAAGTCTTGAGATAGGATTCTCAATAGCTAACGTGTTAAAAACAGATTTCAAATAAACCCAGTGTTCATGTGTAAGTAATACCTCTTTTCTCACAACTACTCCAATTAGATAAAAAGCAAATCGTCCACAATGCCTAAAAAGTTAATGCCAGGCATGCTGATGCATACCTTTAATTCCAGCACTTGGGAGGCAGAGGAAGGCAGATCTCTGGCTCTCTTTAAAAACATTTAGACTTGTTATTTTATGTGTATGGGCTTTTTGTCTGCATGTGTGCCCTTGTACTATGTGCACATCTTGTATTGTAGAGCGGGAGTTAAAGACAGTACTTGGGTGTTGAGGATCAAACCAAGGTCCTCCAAGAGCAACAAGTGCTCTTAAACACAGTCAGTCCCTCAGCACCCTAACTGACTTGTATAGTTGGACTTTTTCATTGGGACCGTTGACTCTCCAATAATGACAGATAATTAATTATGAAAGTTAGGCCTCTAGCTTAGGCTTGTTTCTAACTAGCTCTTAAAATTTAACTATTTCTATTAATCCTGCCATGTGGCTTGTGGCTTTTACCTCTCCTCCTGTACATCCTGCTTCCTCTGCATCTGGCTGATGTCTCCACCCTTCTTCCCAGCAACCTCTGTGCCCCCCAAATCCTGCCTAACTATTGGCCGATCAGCTTTTTCTTAAACCAGTCTGAGTGACACATCTTCACAGAGTACAAAAAGATTATTCCACAACATTTCCCCATTTTTTTCTAAGTAAAAAGCAAAGTTTTTAACCCTAACACAGTAAAACTATATACAATAAGAACACTTACCTGGTATTGTCTAAATAGAAAGGAAAAGTGTTAATTTAAATGAAACTATATGCAATAGTAACAATTATCAAGTAAGAATTATGTTTACAATGTTCAGTCCATTTGTATTTGGCATATTAGGAGAAAATATTTCCTTACTTATTTTGTCTTTGAGTCCAAAGCTCTATCATACCTTCTATCATACCTAAGGAAAATTGCAACTATAACTATTTCATCTTCAACTCATTAAAGACCCAAGAAGGATATAATATCATCTGATCCAGCAGAAAGTGCTCTGCAAGCCACTTCCAAAACTAAGAAATGGTATACCTGGCTGCCTGGACAGTCACCCTGAGGTTCTTATTCAGTGTTGGGGATTCTGTCTTCAGCCTAGATTATCTGATAGACTTTTCTGTGAAGTCAGAATTTTGACCCTTGTTCTGGCAAAGTTCAGCAGTCACTTTCTTTTGTGTCCTGCTTGTCAAGTTTGAACAGCGTACTGTCAGCAGTCAGGCAAGAACAGTTTCTTTCCCAGTGGCTTAGTTTTGCCACATTGAAAACCAGCTTCATAGGGAGTTTCTTCAATGCCCATCATCTTCTCCGTAGTAAATTGGTGCTACCAGGAGCAGACATATCTCATTTTCATGGAAAGCCCTATTTTAACAAAACATTTTAAATGCCTTATTCCATTAGTCTTTGGAGTGTTTGAAAACCATCTTATCTGTCTATCTAAAATATATCCGTTTGACCTTGAAAACATACTTAACTTGACTAGAAATTATAGATGGCTAACTATTAGTCTGCATTTCTTTATTATCCTAGTTTGTAATAATAACTTTCAAGGCTAGCAATTTTTATTACATATTTAAATGAGCTGTATAGATACAATACCTTAAATGAGAATAGAAATGTATATACAGTATGGTCTATCAAAAATGCCCTTAAATTTATATAAATATATAAAAATCCATACCAATGTAAAATATTTGAGGTTAGTTGTTGTTCAAAAGTAGACTCAACAATCCTTTTATCCCATCATTATATACTCTACCCACCCCTCTTTTCTCTTCAGGAAGAGCTCCCTGAATCTAATCTCCTTTGTTCAGTTTTTTATCTGACTATGACCAGTAACAATTTGCAACCAACCCCCTAAACAATGACAGACATCCATGACCCACCAAATGACCAAAAACCACCTACCCCATCTCTTGGGAATGTGGGCATTGTGTTCTCTAGACTGCTTCCTAGCACCTTTGGGGAACCCTGAAAATTGGGATAATGGCCTGGCTAGAATAGTCTGTGAGGCAGGAACATCTTAGCCAGCCCTGTTCTGGATGCAGAGCTCTGAGGAAACTGCAGCAGAGGCGTCCTGAGAGGCTGGATCACCCGGGCCACCCGATTTCATTGGTGTCTGGTCCCTTGCTCTGAAAATACACAAACTTTTAAAGATAACATATGTATCTGCATTAACACAAATATGGAATGTGCAGTGCACACAAGTCAGTTAAAGATGGTTTTTCTATGTTTGAGCAGTTAAAATATACATCACCTGTCTCGTTGTTTTTTAAGCTTTATTTCTTTATGTCTGCAGCTAGGATTTTCAGGGTGTGTCTTCCCTGATCAAATCTAATCTCTCTCTATCAACCTTGAATGAATCTAAAGCCTTTTGCTTTCTGTGGAAACAAAAGCATAACCTCTTCCCTAATGTAACATATTTCTTGACTTCCGTTTTGAAATTAAGACATTTAAAAATATATATACGTTGTTTTAATTTAGTAGTTTTTATAATCCAGTGTCTCAGCAGCTATTATTTGCTCATCACCAATCAAAAAATTTAAAGTCAATACAATACCTTATGGGATTCATTCAGACTCTGTTTTGCATTTTTACATGGTTTTTCACTTTTATATTTTAAGTTTTGCTTTAAAGACTTATTATTTATAAACTTTTTTCTATGCTCATTTTCTTTTTCTTAATTAAGCCTATGTACATTTTATACACACTGTTAACCTGCTTAGAGGTTTTTTTTTTCCCTGTCTGAACCTGCTTTTATCTGTAATCTTTTCTATTTGTTTGAGCAAAATCTTAAACAAGTGTGCAGCTTAGCTCATGGTGCACTGCCCACAGGGAGTGGCAAGGAGATGTGTACCATGGCCTGTATGAAAGACTGCGGAACTAGAAAGCCGAGTTTGTCTCTGTTTTTTTTTTTTTTTTTTTTTTTTTTTTGTGTGTGTGTGTGTGTGTGTGTGTTTGGAACTTTTTTCTAAAGCTTTTTTTTTTTTTTAGGTCTTATGTGGAGATTTCCTGCCCCCATGTTGGATGCTGGTTGTAGTCAGACTTTTTTTTTTTTTTTTTTGTCAGGACCGTCATCTCTCCAATAATGTCATGGAGACTTACTAATTATGAAAGCTTGGCCTATAGCTTAGGCTTGTTTCTAACTAGCTCTTAAAACTTAAATTAACCAATTTCTATTAATCTATGTCTTGCCACATGACTTGTGGCTTTTACCTCTCCTGCACATCCTGTTTTCTCTGAATCTGGCTGGTGACTTCACCCTTCTTCTTTCCAGCATTTTCTGTGACCTGAAAATCCTGCCTAGCTATTGGCCTTTCAGCTATTTCTTAACCAACTGAGTGACACATCTTCACAGTATATAATAAGATTATTCCACAGCATACTTCTTACTTAAGAGAACTCTAGATTAAAGGCGTGTTTTAAAGCTGACTGAAATTTTCTATTTTCCTTCTAATTAGGAATAATTTTAATAATTATGAACTGTAACTCTTTTAAAAGGCACCTTCCTAGTATGTGGCTCTGGTTTGGGGTTGACCGTTTCTACGCTAAACTCTAGTTGATTCTGTAGCTTCTTTTAGGTTGTGCTCTGCAGATGGGACCTCTGCTGCCAGCTCTTCTGTCCCCTTGGTCAGTTCTTTGCTAATCCACTGTGCATAATGGCTGTTAAGTGCTCATTCTCTCATAGTGATGCTTATATGCAAATTAAGTTAATCACTCTGTTCCTATGTTTCCACAGTTGAAGACACAATTAAATGAAACACGAACAAAACTTCAAAATGAACAAAGTGAGAGAAAGAAGGTAGCTGATGATTTGCATAAGGTAAGATATTGCATGGCTTGAAGACTGTGTCCCCAACTTATGCTGTGCACGAGTCCTGGGCAGACACACTATAAAACTGTTTTCATCTTTTGGGGTCCTTAGAAGTGTAGACTGCTGGTGTGTGGGGGAGCAAACTTTCACTTGCATCCCCATTTGAAGTTATTTTTTATATCTTTACTTTTGAAAACTCTTTAAGATAATTATTTGATGTGTATGGGTGTTTTGTTGGCGTGTCTGCCTGTGTACCACGTGAGTTCTTGGTGTCTTTGGAGACTTGAAGAGAGCTTTGGACCCCCGGAACTGGAGTTGCAGATGGTTGTGAGCTGCATGTGGGTGCTGCAAATTGGACTCAGGTCTTGTGGAAGAGCAGCCCCTGCTCGTAGCTGTTGAGACACCTCTCCAGCCCCCCAAAGTTTTAAAATGAAAGTTGACATTGCCATTTATTTACAAAGTACATTTCTGTTTGTTTATGAATATGAAGAATGTATAATATCTGTAGTTTCAAAAGTTTGTCCTTTTCACTCAGTTCTTTGTGCCAATATTTGTTTCCTCTCCTTCCTTCTCCCACCCCTGATCTTCTGAGACAGGGCCTCACTGTGTATCCTGGGCTACAGAGTAACTTAACCTCCTTACTGCTGGGTGGCAGGGGTGTGCTACCATGTGGAGCACACATGTTTTTCTTATTCTCATATTCACATTGATAATTGTTTTAGGATTGTATTTCTTAACTCTGCATTTGGTTAACAGATTGTCATTTTGATGTGCTGTTTTTAGTTCTTACTTGCTTTAAAACAAAGATGGCATAGAACTCTGCTAGTATTTATGGGAAATTTTATATATCAGAAAAATTATATATGTCACTTTCTTAGAATTGCAGAATCAAGAATTTGCAAGTTTTAATTTTGATACCTGCATCAATTACTGGGTACTAATAAACATTTAAATATTAATATGCTAACAGATCTTTTAAAGATTTCTCATTTAAATATACCATATTATTTTTCAGAATACAAAAGATATTTTTGTTTTTCAACAAATAAGTTTGTTAAAGCTTATTGTTATTAATACAGAAGACAAAGGATTGAGAAATGCTTGAAAAGTTTCAGATTACTTAAATGCAGATTAAATGTTAAATGGGAATTCAGGAAGTTTGTGTTAGTACAAACTTTTTCTTGTTTTGAGACAGGGTCCCACTATGTAGCCTTAGTTGATCTATAATTCTATGTAGATCAGCTGGACTTAAGCTGCTTCCTGAGCTAGGATTAAAGGTGTGTGCCCCCATGTCCAGAGAGAGAGAGAGTACAAACTCAATATAATTTGATTTGTTTTGGCCTATACGTCAAAATATAAATGATGCAGTTTTAGCAGTTTCTCAGACAGTATTTTGAGAATATTAAAACACAGGTGCTTAAAGGTATAGATAGTCCCTGGTATGTGTGATGGTTAAAATGGCAAGGGTAGGTGGCAGTCACCTACGTCTATAGAATTAGGAATACTCCATTGAGATTGGAAGTGCACATAAGTAATTATGGACTGAAACACTTTATTAACTGCAGTGTATATTTGAGCCCATTTGTAGGACATTTTCTGCTAGTTTTCTCTAAATGTGTTTTATGTTCAAAGAAGAACTCAAACTAAGAGTCAGCAAACTCAGTTTGGGATTAGTGGTGTACATGTGATATTCTTATGTGTTTCATTTAAAAACAAAAACTAGAAAAATTTAGAAACACAAAAGTCCAAGTGTGGTGGTACATACCTATAATCCAACTTAACTTAGGTAGATGAGACCAGAGGATCAGACAGTAACCCTTGTCTACTTAATGCGTTTGAGACCAGTCTGAGCTGTCAGGCTATCTCTAATTAAAAACAAAACCTATTCTTGAAAGTGAGCTGTACAAAGCAGATTGTGGGTTGAATTTGGCAGACTTGTAAACTAGACTAAAACTTAAATATCAGTGTAGTTATTCCTAGTTTTAATTTCTTTATACAGTTCCTGTGTTTGGATTATTGGAAGTGTGAGCTGGTAGGAAGTGTGGCTATTTACATTTTTGGTGAATAAGTTTTCCATTGTACACAGAGAGGAGCTTTAATTTTGTACAAAATACATATTCAGGTTATTTAATTTGTGTGCTTTGATGTATCTGCCCCCTGTTGCTTTTGTTACAGGCTCAACAGTCACTGAACTTTATCCACTCAAAAATTTCACTAAAAGCTGCTGGAGACAATGCTGTTATTGGGAATAGTAGTGTTTCCCCAGAAACGGTGTGTATTTCCTTCAACCCAAAATTTCTAGGCTAATTGCCCTGTAAACTTATTGAAGAACAAGCATGTGCAGGACCAGTCTTTGGCTCCACACTATGTTTCCATGTTTGGGAGAGGGGCTGCTTGTTAACTTCATGTGCGGCCTAGGGGAAATTCCCTAGTCGCTCTGCTTCAGTAAAAGAAAATGGTATCATCACCTGTCCTGGGTTGTAGGAAGGAACAATTGAGTACTATGTAAAATTCCTTGAAGAGATGGTAAGAACCCTGTGTGTGGTTGTGTGGTGCCTGTGGCTGGGACTGTTGGAGGCATGCTCTCCTTTATGGACAAGTTTTTTTTTTTTTTTTTTTTTTTCTTTTCCTTTTCTTTTCTAAACACAATTGTTTTATCTTCTGGAAGGAAAAAAAAATATGTTATTTACAGTATCCACAGACTAGATTTTCCTCTGTGGCCAGCATTTTATGCATTATAGTTTCTTTCATGCCAGCTAGTTTGTGCCACTAATCAGCAAAATTTTCTGTGCAGTTTTTACTGTTGCTAATTTTTTTAAATAAATCAGATTTTGTAAACTTATGCTTTTTAAAACATCGTTTCTCCTTTTTGGTTGCCCATTCTTGTTCTTTGTGTTTGAAGGTTTTTGAAGTAATTATCCCTTTCACCTTCTTTTCAGGGAGCTCCTGAGAAGGAGACAATGTCTGTGAGTCTGAATCAGACTGTGACCCAGTTACAGCAGCTGCTTCAAGAAGTCAACCAACAACTTATGAAGGAGAAGTGATCCTGACTGTGGGGTATGGACACTAAGCATTGCTGTTTCTTTATAAATAACATAGTGGGAAGAATACATATAAAATACGTACTCACCATAAGATGATCAGCTTTCATTTCACTGTAGAAAGAAATTCCCTTTTTACCCCTCACAGTTTCCAGGTGGCATCTTTGACCTTTCTGGTTTTGAAGTCTTTTGGTTTAGAGGAAAAGAATCCTGGCACGGTTAGTTATGTCAGCCTTCTGTCAAGCAGCTTCTCTGCGACTGGGCTACCTGCCTGGGTTGCTGTGTTATGCTGCCTTCGGTTTCCTATTAGTTGATTCTGATCTAGTTCAGACCAAGTATCTGACATTTCCCTTGCCTTTATGACTGTGGTTGCTTTTATCAATGCTGGATTGAAAACGAAGCAATCATAACTTTGTAACGTGAAATGAGTATACAACATTTATTATATACCTAACGATGGGAGTATTAGATTTCCATACTTTTTGAAGATTGGAAGCTGGTTTGGCCTTCTTTTTATTTGTTTGTTTGCTTGTTTGTTTTGTGGTGACTTGCTCAGGCAGTGTTAGGCCAGTCCTCTCCTCTGTTGGAATTATAGCAGCACCATCATAAGAAGTTGGTATTTTGTTTGTGTTTGCTTTTATCGATAATCTAAGAAATGTACTTTTCTATGCTTGAAGTGAGAGTTTTGCTTTAGAAGAAGGCATTGTATTATATTTTGCCAAAGCTCATGCTATGAACTTTTGTTTCTACATGACTGAAGAAAGCTTAATTTCAACAGCATTTCAAACTCCTTATATTCCTGCGCAGGCTTTGTTACCTATGTTTTGCTTTCTACAAATGACTTAAATCATACTGCCTAGGGCAGAGCATTTGAATATACACAGAATATTTCAGATAGTCCTCTTTTGAGGCTGTTTGCTCTAAAATAATGGTGATATCCTGTTGGCACAGAGGAGCAACTCAAAAGTACCATTCAGAACCTATGCCAAAGGCCTCAGGGACCGATTAGATGTGTGGAAAAGTTAACAGGCGCCCCTTGTGATGTGGCAGGCATGTACTGTCACACCTTGTCCTCAAGGTACTAACCCTTTAGCCCACCTAAGCTCATGCACTTAGAAATGCTAACTTACCCTCAAAAGACCGAGCACAGTAAACCCATCTCAGTCTTTACTGTCACTCCAGACCGTGTAAACTCCTTTTCCCATTTTTGGAAGTTATGTTTCTGGCACTTTGGTTTCCCAAATGGCACTCATCCTTGCTTTATCTTCATAGAGAACTTCTTGCATTTCATGTCTTCTTCCTATGGCTTCAGCCTGACCTTTTTTTTTTTTTTTTCCCCCTGCCTGTGAACACGGCCAGATACCTTCCTTTAATTTGTCCTGGAACTCACTGTGTAGACCAGGCTGGCCTCGAACTCACAGAGATCCACTTGCCTCTGCCTCCTGAGTGCTGGGACTAAAACACTAATGAAAATGACTTTGCAGGGCTGTTCTCTTTGTAAAATCCATCCCTGAAATCTTCTGAATCCTGAGCCTCCTCTCGTTTTGTTGACCATCAGTGTGAACTGCTCTGGGTGCCACGGGAAGTGCTGGGGTGGATCTTAAGAGCTATGTGTGGGATACAGCACCCGGGGCTTGCCTTACTTTGTTCTAAATGGTTTGTTTTCTTGTCTTTTGCAGAGTGAAGTCATTGGAAATTACTCGTTAGAACTTAACAGAAGGCATTGTATTATATTTTGCCAAATTAAAGCCTTATTTATGTTTTCACCCTTTCTACTTTGTCAGACACTGAACAGTTTTGTCTTTTCTAACCCTTGTTAGACTACTGACTTACAGAGAAAACACTTTAAAAAAGCCAACTCTGTAGACACCTTCAGAGTTTAGTTTTATAATAAAACGGTTTGAATAATTAGACCTTAAAATAAATGTAATCTTTTACCTTATTTCGCTCAAATTGTTCAGAAGATCAAAGTGGTATAGACAGTGTGAAATATAACATTTTAATACTGATGTTGTACACTGCTTTACCTAACATTTGGGAAGTAACTGCCTCTGACATCAACTCAAGGGAACACTTTTGTTGCTAATGTAATCAGCAAATAAAGGGACACTTATTATTCAAACACGACTCACTCTAATTCTCACTGAGTTTTAACAGGTGTCATTAGCACTTCAGATCATTTGAAATGCAGTATCTAATGGCAGCCACCAAACAAGACAAGTCTCTCCTGTAACTTCCTGACTAGGTCTTTGTGTCCTCTGTGGGACAGGGCTGTGTCAGGTACCACAGTGTGGGTGATGACAAGGGTGGTGCAGGCATTTGGGTCCCATCCATCATGGAGAAGGGCTCTGCTTTATTTTTACTATTACTACTATTGTTTTAATGTAAAAAAATGTTAAATTTTACTGTTCAGAGACTGTGTCATAGGCATTCTCTTTTCTTTTGGAGAAAGAGAGAGACAGGGAGAGAGAGAGAGAGAGAGAGAGAGAAAATGTGTGTGTGTGTGTGTGTGTAGGGGGTAGGGTGGGAGGGCACTGTTTTCTTCAGATGGCAATAACAATTGACAAGTATCTTGTACCACAGAGTATTAAAGTACCTTTTAGTATTATTAGTGTTTTTTTTTGTTGTTGTTGTTTTTAATTTCTTTTTATTATTTGTGCATAGGTCATTTGGTTTTATGCATGTATGAGAAACACACATGTATATTGCCCATGGAGGCCAGAAGATATTGAATCTCCTAGAATAAGTTTAAAGACTTGTGAGCTGCTCTATGGGTACTGGGAATCCAACCCAGGTCTCCTGGAAGAGCAGATGTTCTCTTAACCACTAAGGTATCTCTCCAGCCCTTATTGCTATTTCTTGAACAAAACAGTCATGCTTCTACCACATGGAGGCTTTGCACTTTGTATTCCTACTGTTTAGAGCTATTTTATTTTGAAGCAGGTCTAATGATAAGCAGGTCTTAGCTAGTGTTTCTATTGCTGTGAAGAGAACCTTGAACACAAAAATAGCTAATTGGGGTTGGCTTACACAGTTTCAGAGGTTTAGTCCATTATCTTCACGGCGAGAACCATGTTGTCATATAGGCAGACATGGTGCTAGAGAAGGATCTGAGAGTTCTACATCTTGATCTGCAGGCAACAGGAAGTGAACTGTGTACTGGGAGTAGCTTGAACATATATGAGACCTCAAAGATTGCCCCCAATGTGATACACTTCCTCCAACAAGGCCACACCTCCTAATAGTGCCACTCCCCTAAAGCAGATAATAAGATTCTTGGACACAATACAGGCTGTTTGAGGTTTATTTGGGGAGAATTCACTTAAACAAGAAACAGACGACTGCTGTTGGTTCCCCGTCCAAGGATGTCCTCTGATCTTCTCTCGTCTCTGACCTGGAAGAGGAGAGTACATCCAGGTTGGGACCCAGACCTAGACCCCCATCCATTATGCCCACACCTGATCCCACACCCCCGTGAGTGTTCCCAATGAGTGTACAACAGGTGTGGGCGGGCTGGATATCTCACTATTCTCCCCAGGGACCAAGCTTTCACCGACAAGTCTATAATGGCCATACCAATTCAGGTCACCACAACACTTGTCAGACTGCAGTTGGTAAGTAGAAGCAAGAGTTAGAAGCTAGCCTGGGTTACAAAGCAAGACCAGTTATGAAACACCAATGGCCTCTTTTAAATGTCAGCTCAATCCCCTATTAATTTTCACCCCTCCCTCAGTGTTACAACCACACATTAATGCATCTTTTGCCTCTGAAGTAGTGAGTACTGCTCATCACAATTTGAGACATGAGCAATTTTTAATGATCTCCTATATGAAATTATATTAGAAGTCTTGTTCCTGGTATGTCTATCAGTCTAGCCAGCTTCTCCACTCTGGAGTAACATAGGGAAAGGTAACCATGTTCCCATTCAGTGATGGTTCACTTGGGCAACTGTAGCTCTATGCCTTATATTAAACATTCCTAGAGCTGCAGTCGTTGGAATGGTGGAAAGCTTTGCTAGATGCTTTGCCTTTTGGTCCCAGTGCTCATCTTTCCACTGTCTCAAGACAGTGGGGGGAGAAGGGGAGGAAAGAATAGACATAATCTCTTAATTACCACCATACCAGAGCTGGGGTACCAATTGGGTTGTTAAACTGAAGCTGTGAGGTCTCCTAAGAGTTTTCCTAAGTCATGAGGGACCTGTACAGGGCCAAGAGGAAACTGATTGGTAATGACGTTCAGGTAGTGGCAGACTGGTTGGTTGGTAGGTGTTTCTCATTTCACTCAATTTTTGTTCTTTATTCTTCCCTTGAAAAGTAGACCATTTTACATTCATTGGCAGAATTCTTTTGTGTAAGAGTATCACATGCACATTTTGTCATGTGCTAGCTAGCTTAAAAGCATTTACTTGGATTGGGTATTTTATTCTTTACTAGATTATATTGAGGTAGGGAAGGGATATACTTCCATCGTCTTCATTGTAGATGTAGAAACCTGGTCTTGTCTACTCAGGAGAGCCAGTCCTAAATCTATGCCATCCTGGGCCTGTGACTGATGTGTGCATATCTCTGTAATAATGTGTGTGTAATTATAGCTAGAGAAAAGTTTAAGATGGTGTGGAAAAAGTAACTTTGAAGGAAGGGTTTTGTTTGTGCCTTTCTCGTCTTCTGATAGTTTCTAAGGGACTGTCTACCTCAGTGGTTCTCAGAAGTAGGACATGTCGACCACTTGGTACCCCATGACCCTTGATTTCTAGTGGTCTTGAAGGTCAAAACCACTTTCATAATTACCATCTGCTTTTTCCACCATGTTGACATTTGTGCTATTCCAAGGAAACAGTGTCTTCCAGACACAACAGGACTGATGTGCATATGAACTCAGACTGGCAACTTGCACAGGTTTATTCCAGATGTGGTTCCAGCACTGCTAGGGGGAGGTGGACACGGGCTCCTACCTGTCACCAAGAAGCAGTCTGCATTTGATATCCACTGCAAAGGGAAATTACTTTTCTCCAATGGAATCTCAAGGGGATATAAACTACACTTCAGGGCAGGTTCCATGCCCAGGAGTATCTGACCAGCATGAAACTAGCTCATTGGTAGTTTTTATAGAATTTGTCTATTTGCCTTGTTTGGGCAGTTTTTTGTCTTACTAATTTTTTGCTTATATATTTTGGTTTCTGTTTTGTTGGCTTTGGGGGGGAGACGTGCTTGATTCCTTTTTTAAAAAAAGACAAGCAGTGGGGGTTGGGCGGCTGGAGAGATGGTGAGGATTTGGGAGGGGTTTAGGATAGCAGAAAGCATGGTCAGATATGTTATGTGAAAAAGTTTTTAAGTAAAAATTTTCTTGGTTTTAATTTTTGTACATTGAATATTGATAGAAATAGCAAAGGTTTTTAAATCTAGAAGAATTCCCAGACCAAAAATTGGAGGGCCATGGTTTCTGCATACTGTTTCTTTCCCATAGTTTTAAATGACATCTGGCAATTATCCATTCTTTAAAAATTTGTCTTATTTTATATTTTTGTAATTTTCATTTTGTTCTTTGAAAATTTTGTGTAAAATTTGTTTTCAATAAATTGATTTTAGGCTGTGGGTTTTTCTCTGGACTACTTTGTTACAAATGTTTATATGTAAGGTTTTGTTGTCTTTGAATATATTAAAATGCCATTTCAAGCCTTATGATATAAGAGGCAAACAGCTCACTCTCATTTAGCAGTTACTATCTTGTGTGAATGTGTAATTCCATGTTGTCATGTAACCAGATAACTAACTATGTAAATTCCCTTAGCAATATGTTTTGTATGCTTTCAAAATGTGTGTTAATCATTCTGTCATTAGTTTAGCAGTAGATTGAAGGCTATACACGTAGGAACGGAACTTTGGGTTTGTGGAGTGTGCATATGCTCAGTTCTACTAGGCACCGTCAGGCAGTTAACATTCCACACAAAGTAAACAGGAGCTCCCTGTGTTCTGTAACTTCACATAATTGATCTAGATTACCTTTGTCAGTACAGAAAGAGCACTGAGAGACCTTACGGTTTTGTTGTTTTACATGTGTGCAGTTGGATACATTTTGCTGCATACCTCTGCGCCACTACAAATAAGAAAATGAACAAAACCATTAAGTGCAGCACATTCCTTTGTCTCCACTTCCTTCTTCCCAGGCAGCTCATATATGCCTTCTGCCACTTCAGGTTACTTGAACTTTCTCAAGTTTACAGAAATGGAATCATGCAGCAAGTACAGCTTTTGTCTGCTTCTTTTGATTCAGAGCAATAAACAGTTCTTTGTATTTCTGAGTGTGTTGTACTGTGTATACTGAATATTATAAATGGCTCATCTAATCTAGGAATGAATGTTTGGATGTATTCTAATTTGCTCTCTGTTGCTGTGGTAAACACCATGACCAAACCCAACTTGAGTGTAAACGGCTTACTTGGTGTACAAGACCTAATCACAGGTCATCATGGAGGGGATCAAAGGTGGGAATGAAACGGGAGCAGAGGCAGGAGCCGTGGAGGAGCATTACTCACTAACTTGATCAGGATCATGCTCAGCTACCTTGCCTAGACCCTCTAGGATCACATGCCCAAGAGGTGGCACTGGCCACAGTTAATGGTCAGGAAAACATGACAGAGACTTGTGTACAGTATAATCTAATGAACTAGCTTTCACGGCTGAAATTCTCTCCCAGTCTGGGCTGTTATTGAGAAAGCCTGAGCATTTTTGTATAAGAAGACTTGTGCATAACTAAGCACATACAACCTGGCACAGCTCTAATGAAGTGTCCAGAGTTGTCCTTCAGGATAGTGCATGTCAGTTACGTTCCAAATACTCTTGTAGGGCCTGTTCAGACTAGGGGTAAAAGATTAGAGGAGACCAGGATTCTGAACCAGGAGAGAAGTTAGCAATGTTACTCATGGTCTGTCTGGACCTGATGTCAAAGAATTGAAGTCCATGCAAGCAGCAAAGGAGCAAGGCAGGCATTTAGTATGAATGTGCTTTCTGTAGGAGAGCTGTGGGCTCTTAAGTGATTTATGCAAGAGCTGTGGTTGCTTCTCAGAGCTGCTCTTTGTGGATTCAGAAGTAGGTTGGTAGGTTGGTGGTACTGTGTTTTTATTTGCAGGCTTGGGTTACCTAAGCCTTGGTTCGCAGTATACATCTTCCCCTATGATGCATCTGCTTTTCATACTCATTATGCACAGGCATAAGATGGTAAATAGGCTTCCTCTTAAAGTTCATTTTCCCTTGTGCAATCACTGCAAACCAATTTGCATTGGCTCACTACCCTCGGTTTTAGAATCTTTCAGGCTTTGTTTGACCACAAAAGGGAGTTACTAAAGGAGTTCAAAGGAGGGAGATATAGCTTGGAGTGATCCAATTGCTTTGCTTGGAGAGGAGTATGCACATACCTTCTTTGCAGTGGAGTCCTAGTTTGTTGGGTACATTTTTGGGAGGGTGTGTCTGTGGCTTAAGGCATGCAGTGTTTGCCTGCCTCTCAAATCCATGCACTAATGTGCCATTTCTGCTCTCAGTCCTACTTCAAATCCCAACACCCACTTCTTTGTGCCAGGTTTTAGTGTGGGTCCTCTCGGCCTGACTATTTTGTCAGATGCCAGGCACACGACCCTGTGAGGAAAATATACCCTCATGAACTTCTTAAAGAAGCCAGGAACTTTGGCAGCCAGGCACAGTTGGGTCAGCACAGGGTCCTAATCTCATTAACAAGGGAAAAACAAACAAAACAACAAACAAAAAAAAACCTCAGATTGTGTTTCTACCATCTTCATGGCAGCCATAGTCTTTCATTTTAAGTATTTGAGTGATCTGTTTCATAGCACAGGCTCCCAGGCTGTCTGATAGGATCCTATTACCTGCTTCCACCTCTGGAGTTGGACAAGACTCCTGGCTAAAACACTTAGCTGAAAGCTGAGCCAGCTTGCAAGGTGAGCGTGAGGATTTGATAGTGGTGTGTGCCAGAATAGAACCAGTGCCTTTCCCATGCTTGTTGGCTGTTCTAAATGGGTGTCTGGTATACAGTCTAGGAGGAATGGGAACAAGTGTAATTTGATGCCTTGGGCTCTTTAAGTGTTGGGGAAAGTATCTGGAAGTCGTGGTGATCCCCAGAGCCCAGTCTACCAAAGGTCTTTGGCTTTTCAGGTTTGACTGGTTATGGCTTGGATTTTGACACACTAGATGACACATCCAACACATGGTGGCTAGATAGCTGCATACTGCCAAAGCTTCTAGCTCTGTTGTAACTACTCTAGGGTTCTGGAAATTCAGAGCGGTGAGCTCAACCAGCCTCACATCGCATTCTCCCTGCCTACTCCCCAAATGCTAAGCCCCTTGGTGCCACTTTTACTGCACACTAGTTCTACATATGCCTTCCATTGTTTGCTGAAAGGTAGTACTGAGTCTTTTAAAAAAACATTATTCTATGTGCCTTTTACATCATGTATCTTGATCCCATTCATTTTGCTGTCCCTTAGCATGTGCTCTCTGTCCCTATACCCCTTCCCCAATGAAAAATAGGAAAGAAATAAAGGGGGGAAATTGTCATGGGAGCTGCAGTGTGACTCCGTGAGTCACGCTGTAAACCCCTTTGCCCATATATCTTGTAAATGTTTATTTGCAAAGAGTCATCGGTCTGGTTCGAGGCCTCTGGTTTCTACTGCACCATTGATGCTGGGCCCTCACTGGGACTCTTCCTGAGTGTCCTATTGTTGCCCTGTGTTGTGGAGATTCTTCAACTTTGAGTCTGTGGGTCTAGTTCCTTCATGTGTTCCAGCAGGTCCTAGGTGGGGTGGACCATGTCATAACCCTGGATCCAGGCCTGGGCAATGAGAAATGGGGACAGCTCTCCCATATCTACAACTTCAGAGCTGGCTCATTGACACCTGCACTAATGGAGAGTTGTGTTCGAAAGCTCTCCCTGAAGCTGCAGCACTGACTAAGTTGTGTCAGCACAAAGTGTATGAGGGTGTGGCCTGGGAGCATTCTTGAGTTCCTAGAGGACAGCTGCAAACAGCACATGAGAGTTGCAAACACTGGCGTATACCAGTGCTGAGTGCCAGCATCCAGCCCCAGCTAGATTGTCCATGAGATGGTAGGCACCCTGTTGGTAAACTTCCTCACCTAACTCTGCCAGCATGGGGTTAGAAGAGTGCTTCCTGGTTTCCAGTATAGCAGACAGAATAACGGCCCCAGAGTGTGTGTTCTAATCCAAAACCTGTCAAATGTCAAGGAGGAGATACAAAGTTGTGAATGAGATTAAGGTGATTGGCAGATTATTTTGGGTTCTGGGGGAGGTGTTGGAGGTGAGGTCGGCAATGAAATTAGAGTCCTTTAGATGTAAACAAATGGGGAATTCAAAGACAGCTAAGTGACAACAGAAGCATCGGTGGGACGCTCCAGTATGAGGACTTTGAAATAATAATAATAATAACAATAATAATAATAAACCCAAAAAGCAAAACAGTGATTAACACTCCAGTCAGTCCCACCATGTCACACTAGAAAGACTTCCAGTCCTCCGGCCTATTTCATACTTCATATAGCTTTTTATCCAGTGTCACCGAATGTTACTCATTTTTTGTTTGCCAGTCATATAGATGTCCTAATTCTGTGAGTACCTAGGTGCCAAGGACAGTCTTACTCTTTTTGGTGACCCCTCCAAAGTGTACTACTGTGCCTGGACCATAAAAACATCCTAGTAGCTTACTAGTTCTTTGTTCAATGAGGGAATGCGGTGATGCAGAGGATGGTGAGGAGAAGGGGTCCTGGTGACAGTGAAGCCAGCAGAGAGGCAGCGACAACTAAGAATCCAGGCCACAGGGGAGCAGCCTCCGATGAGAGAAGTGGGTGTGATGAGGCCAGCAAAGGAGGACATGGCAGGATGGAGATAGCGAGCAAATCCTGAAAGGGAGGAGGGTTTGGACATCTATTAGTTTATGGCTGGGGTAAGCAAGCTCTTCAGCCATGTGAGTTCCTCTGTCTCATCTGCAGAGTGAACATCAGAACAATGTACTATACAGAATGCTCATCCTGTGTCTAGAGTACACTGTACAGAATGCCCGCCCTGTGTCTAGAGTACACTGTACAGAATGCCCGCCCTGTGTCTAGAGTACACTGCACAGAATGCCCGCCCTGTGTCTAGAGTACACTGTACAGAATGCCCGTCCTGTGTCTAGAGTACACTGTACAGAATGCCCGTCCTGTGTCTAGAGTACACTGTACAGAATGCCCGCCCTGTGTCTAGAGTACACTGTACAGAATGCCCGCCCTGTGTCTACAGTACACTGTACAGAATGCCCGTCCTGTGTCTAGAGTACACTGTACAGAATGCCCGCTCTGTGTCTACAGTACACTGCACAGAATACCCGTCCTGTGTCTACAGTACACTGCACAGAATGCCCGCCCTGTGTCTACAGTACACTGCACAGAATGCCCGCCCTGTGTCTACAGTACACTGCACAGAATGCCCGTCCTGTGTCTACAGTACACTGCACAGAATGCCCGCCCTGTGTCTAGAGTACACTGTACAGAATGCCCGCCCTGTGTCTAGAGTACACTGTACAGAATGCCCGTCCTGTGTCTAGAGTACACTGTACAGAATGCCCGTCCTGTGTCTAGAGTACACTGTACAGAATGCCCGTCCTGTGTCTACAGTACACTGCACAGAATGCCCGCCCTGTGTCTACAGTACACTGTACAGAATGCCCGTCCTGTGTCTACAGTACACTGCACAGAATGCCCGTCCTGTGTCTAGAGTACACTGTACAGAATGCCCGTCCTGTGTCTAGAGTACACTGTACAGAATGCCCGTCCTGTGTCTACAGTACACTGCACAGAATGCCCGCCCTGTGTCTACAGTACACTGCTCAGAATGCCCGTCCTGTCCTGTGTCTAGAGTACACTGTACAGAATGCCCGTCCTGTGTCTAGAGTACACTGTACAGAATGCCCATCCTGTGTCTACAGTACACTGCACAGAATGCCCGTCCTGTGTCTAGAGTACACTGTACAGAATGCCCATCCTGTGTCTACAGTACACTGTACAGAATGCCCGTCCTGTGTCTACAGTACACTGCACAGAATGCCCGTCCTGTGTCTAGAGTACACTGTACAGAATGCCCGCCCTGTGTCTACAGTACACTGTACAGAATGCTCATCCTGTGTCTAGAGTACACTGTACAGAATGCCCGCCCTGTGTCTAGAGTACACTGTACAGAATGCCCGTCCTGTGTCTAGAGTACACTGTACAGAATGCCCGTCCTGTGTCTAGAGTACACTGCACAGAATGCCCGTCCTGTGTCTAGAGTACACTGTACAGAATGCCCGTCCTGTGTCTACAGTACACTGCACAGAATGCCCGTCCTGTCCTGTGTCTACAGTACACTGCACAGAATGCCCGCCCTGTGTCTACAGTACACTGTACAGAATGCTCATCCTGTGTCTACAGTACACTGTACAGAATGCTCATCCTGTGTCTAGAGTACACTGCACAGAATGCCCGTCCTATGTCTAGAGTACACTGTACAGAATGCCCGCCCTGTGTCTAGAGTACACTGCACAGAATGCCCGCCCTGTGTCTAGAGTACACTGTACAGAATGCCCGCCCTGTGTCTACAGTACACTGTACAGAATGCTCATCCTGTGTCTAGAGTACACTGTACAGAATGCCCGTCCTGTGTCTAGAGTACACTGCACAGAATGCCCGCCCTGTGTCTAGAGTACACTGTACAGAATGCCCGCCCTGTGTCTAGAGTACACTGTACAGAATGCCCGTCCTGTGTCTAGAGTACACTGTACAGAATGCCCGTCCTGTGTCTAGAGTACACTGCACAGAATGCCCGTCCTGTCCTGTGTCTACAGTACACTGCACAGAATGCCCGCCCTGTGTCTACAGTACACTGCACAGAATGCCCGCCCTGTGTCTACAGTACACTGTACAGAATGCTCATCCTGTGTCTAGAAGGCAGCAAGTGTTCAGTGTGTTAACAGTTCTACACAAACACACGGACACACAGACACACATGTTTGGGCAGGGTAGTAGGGAAGTGTGAAGGTGATGGAGAGAAGAACATGAAAATGCACAGAAGCAGGGGGTTCAGCTGGTAGGAGTGGGCAGAGTGATTTCAGGATGTTAACATCCCTCTCCATCATTGAAACAAAGAGTTCATTTAAAGTAAGTCAGAGCCTTTTTAGCAAACTGGAGAGAAACAGGATCAGAGGCTGCCTGCCTTTAGTTGGCTGGTGCCCACTGCTTATACTGCTTCGACTGTAGTTTCCATTGTGTTCCCAGGAGGCTTGGGGTAGGAAAAGAAGAGTCAGGTGTGTTCAGTTTTAATATGATTCTGGGCCCTAGTAGAAGTCTCGAGAGGATTGTATCTAGCAGATTTCTACAATTAATGAAGTCCAACAGCTAGGTAACAAGAGTTTTGTTGGAGGGCTATTAGCCACAAGATAGCAAAGGATGTTGCAGGGCCAGGCAGGTGACACAGCAAAGGGGAGGCTGCTCTTAAATGCTGACATCAGAGGCCCTTTTCAGGATTCCCGGGGACAGTGACAGCCCCCTCTTTACTGGGATCCTCAGAGGGTCAAGTGTTTTGCTTTGGTCTTGATTTTCCTTTTGTGGGGTGGACCAATTATGCTGCTCATTTTTAAGGATGAGATTTTACCAGCCAGGGGAAACAGAGTCAGGATTCTGGTGCATATGGCTGCCAGATGTAGCCATTTCCTCTTCCTGTGGCGCAGTGCCTAGTGTCGCTGCACAGACAGTCATCTGGACAGTGTGTGCATCTGCATTACAGAAGGACCTTCTGGGCTCACATTCACTCATCTGGAAGCCTGCTAATCAGAAGGAACAGAGCATCGTGGCTGCCCCAAACTGAAGGCGAGAAAGCCAGGGGGACGCACAGGCAGAGCTCAGTGAGGAAAGCCTACTGCACGTCAGGCAGAACATGGGGTATATTCTGCCGAGAGTGGGTTTCACACATGTAGTTGAAAGCTGGAAAGGAACAAGGAAGACAGCTTTCTCTGGCAGGAAGGAATTAATTCCTCCTGCCTGGTGACAAATGAGGACACTGGTCGTTTTCCTGTCTTCTCGAAGTTGAAACACTCCAGTTGGCTGCCACAAGTCATATAGATAGACACATACATGTACATATAGACACACACATGCACATAGGATATTCATATGTAATGTAAAATGCATGTATGTTACAACATATACATTTTTACATATAGGTGTGTATATGTGCACACATCTCACCTGTTCATATGGAGACCCCTGATAAGTGTCGTGCTGAAAACTGTATACGCTTCACCAGCTGTGGTAAAGCAGGCAAGCACTGTGTTTTCAAAATGCAGACAGAGGCCATATTCACAGCAATATGCAGACTTGACATAAATATTGTTTATTCCTTGCACCGTGGACCCTGTGATTCAAGTAAGGGACAAGTCAAGGTGGCCAGGCTTTGGTGGGCAGAAGAGTGGACACTCGTATATGTGGAGTTTAAGGGCATCGGTGTCAGGCTTCCATCAGAGCCTTTGCAAGGCACCATCAGTTACACTGGTGACTGGTGGCCAGTTGGAATGATTTTCCTTCCCCTAGCTCGGGTGAAGGGGAGAAAGGGGAGGCAGGTGTTGCATAGGCTAGCAGCTGTGTAATGATGCAAAGGCTCTTCTCCATCCATCCCACCACAGAGTATGCAGCGCTCATCGATCCAACAGTGGCCATGGAGGTGAGTGCGCGCTCAGTGACTGCTGTTCTCCCACACTTGTGCTGGTAGTCATCTCACTTAACTGTCAACGTCAAACGGCTCCCTTTGTGTCCCTTTGTACAAATGAAAAGCCGTAGGTCTAAGAGATTCATGGCTGCCCCAACATCACACAGCTACTACATCGACCAGTTAAGATTCAACTGGGCAGTAGGGCACTGGGACCTGTGCTCACCAGGTTTTGGTACCAGCAAGTTAAAGAAAACCTCAGGTTCCTGGGTAGGGTGACCCCCAACTGACAATTGTAGTTCAGAGTTGGCTGTCTAGACCAAGCAGCTCTTAGACTTGAATGCAGTCTGTTGTTTGCCTTTTAGGTATAAATGGCATTCCTGTCAAGCTGCATGCAGCAGGCTTACACATGTGGCTGCTGTCTCTCCCATCCTAGACTGAATTATGGGAAGGACCTTTCTAGTGTGCTGCTAAGAGAACTCAAATCTTGCCAAGCTGGTGGGGGCAAGGGCAAAGGGGACAGAGGATGAACAAGCAACTCTGGTTACTCATTGACCTTTCTACTTTCTTGTTTCTTATCCTAGAAGACCCCAAAGGGACAGGGCTGATGATGTGTCTAGAAAGCAGAGTTGGGCAAGTGCCTATTTCAGGGCTGCTGCCCAGCCTCCTGCCTGTGTCAAAGGTGTTTGCTCAGGAAGAGCTTGCATGTGCTCCTGTCTCACATCATTTGGTCCAGGTGCCGGAGCTGTCTTCGGAGGCTGACTCTGAGAATTCCTTCCCATCATTCCCGGGCAGGTCTCATAAGCCTGTCATTGCTCCAATCCCTCCTCCCCAGCTCTGTGTACATGTATGAACATGTGTGCACTGCTTTGTGAAGCCTGTGCTGCAAAAGCTTACTTGGTGATCGGAAGACCGATTGGAGAGTCTTACAGTGCTCTATACATGCTTTGTGCCCTCCCTTGTGTCCATTCCAAGTCTCAGATCCTGCAGAGCCTCCAGCCTGCCCTGTGAGCCAAGCCCAAGAATGGACAGAATTGGAATACACTGTGCACCTGCTCCGAAGACTCCGCCTCAGGAGCCAGGGTCTCCTGGGAACCCTGAGACTAGTCCAGTGGTTCTCAATCTTCCTGACGCTGCCACCCTCTAATACAGTTCCTCATGTTGTCCCAGCCATACAGGGTTTTTTTTTTTTTTTTTTTTTTTTTGTTTGTTTGTTTTTTGTTGCTACTTCATAACTGCAATTTTGCTACTAATATGGATCATAATGTGAATCTCTTATATGCAAGATATCTGATATGAGACCCCTGTGAAAGGGCTGTTTGATCCTCAAAGGAGTTGTGACCCATAGTTTGAGAACCATTGGTCTAGCTGAAATGCTCTCCTGCTTGTGCCGCTTTCAGAAATTCACTATCAGAAGCTAGGCCAAGAAGGCAAGAACAAAAGGAAAGCAAGAGAGTTAGAACAAGGAAGAGACATTAGTAGTTCCAGCGGTGAGCTTTTTTAGTCAGACTGCAAAGAATTGCTTCCCAGCAGGGTTAGAAGCCATTGATAGACCTTGGAGGAAGTGATCAGTGTCATTCATGGTGGTGGTGACAGCAGCAGCAGCAGCATCCATCACCGTTGCCTCTGAAAGAAGGTCTTACCTCACCTTTCACAATGCTTGTGATAGCACTAAGTGACTCAGTCCATTGCTATTTTGCTCATCTCTGACATGTGCAGTCTCAACCCTGTATTATGCAGATGGAGACAGACTCAGAGTTTAAGCCCCTGCTGGAAATATTACAGATGCTTTGGGTACCAGAAGGGCTTCAAACTCCAGGGTGGCTTTCCTTCTCCCATTTTGATTGGTATGCTGTAACTAGCATGTCAAACTTGTGGCCTCACAGGCTAAATGTGGCTGAAGACAGCTATTAATGTAGCCAAAGACAAAATAATAATTTAGTTAAAACATTATGGGAGGGTTGGTGGATTAATGAGGTTCAAATTCAATGAGAGGACTTTTCTCAAAAATTAAATATGGAGGAGTTGGAGAGCTAGCTCTGGTTCAGAGCATTGGCTGTTCTTCCAGAGGACCCAGGTTCAAGTCCCAGCACCCACATTGATGGCTCACAACTGTCTGTAACTCAGTGTCCTTCTCTGGCCTTTAAGGGTACCAGGCACTCACAGGTATGAATACAGGCAAAACACCCATACAGAAAAAGTGGGGAGTGATTAAAAAAAGAAACAGACATCTGATGTCCACCTCTGGCTCTGTGTGCACCAGTGCACACCTGCATACGCTAAAAGTAGCAAATAGACACACTACACCATATTTACACATGTAAGCAAACATTAAGAGGTTTTTGTTGGCAATTTAAAGTTTAAAAATGTATATGCATATGTGCTTAAGTGTATATGTCTTAGGGATCCTATTGATGTGAAGAGACACCATGACCACAGCAACTTTTATAAG